AAAAAAAAAAAAAAAAAAAAAAAAAAAACAAATAAGGACAGCCAGTACTCTATATCTGTGAGACTCTTTTTTTTTCTTTGGCAGAACTGGGGATTGAACTCAGGCCCTTGCACTTGCCAGGCAAGCGCTTATTCTACTGAGCTATCTCCCCAGCCCCAGGTACTCTGTATCTGTAGGTGTCATATCTTCAGATTTGGCCAGCTGCACATTAAAAATATTTTTTTAAAGAAGCTACACTGAACATGTGTAGACTTTTATTGTCATTATTCTCTAAACAATATAGTATAGCTATAGCGTCTCATTGCAGTCTCATGTTCAATGATAGGGATATGCTGAGAAACGCATTCTTAGGCAATTTTACTGTATGAATAGAGTGTACTTACAAAGCCTAAGATTACTGTACTGCCATTATGCAGTATAAACTTACTGAGCCACTATTGCATAGGTGATATTAGATATTACATCCTAACCTAAAAATATGAAATCCAAAATGCTCCAAAACCTGAAAATTTTGATGAGTGCTAACTATGCAAATGCTCCAAAATCTAAAAAAATTCTGGAATCTGAAATGGTGGTCAGGAGGCATTCTCTTGGAAAAGTGATGTAAAATGCTACGTAAATTTATCTTATTGGAGCAGAGAAAGAGATTTACAATATCAAGTATTTAGGTTAAGAAATAATCTATATAAGTAATCTATAGAGAGCATATGTTTATAGTATAAAGGAGGATATGTGCAGCTTATATGTAAGTAATCACTAGGCATTTTATACAATGCTTTGAGCATCCTAGAATTTTGGCATCTGAGGAGAAGCCATGGAATCAAAGCCCTATGGATACTGAAAGATGACTGTTTGTAAGGAATTCTGGAGGAAAGGAAAGACAGAGGTTTGTAAGCACCTGGTGGTAATAACCATGCAGTAGAAGGAGAGTTTGGATATTTTAGGATGGAAGTTTAAGTATGCTTTAATGTTGAAAGGACAATCCTAAAAGAATTGAGAGACGAGCTGTGGTGGAGACAGGAACAACAGCAAGCACCCAGTCTTAGAAACACAGCAGACAGTAAGGTCCAGTTGGCATAAGGAAATAACTGTAACTAATGTAGGAAGGTTTTTTTTTTTAAATTTTAGGACAGGGTGTACAGGGTGTACAGGGTCTCACTGCATAGACTGGACTCGTAGCGATCCTCCTTTTTACAGCCTCCCAAGTGCTGGGATTATAGGCATGCACCTCTATACCCAGTCCCAATTGCTGTCTCAGCGTGCTCCGGGAGCGGAGCCAGCACGGCAGGCCCAGGGATCAAACTCCCAGCCTCTGCGTCTAAGTAGATGCTTTAATCTGCTGAGCTATTTGGCTGGCCCTGTAGGAAGGTTTTAGATGAGATGGTTTTACACTGAGGTAGTTTGCATCTGCTGATATGAATGGTGACAGGAGGCAGTGGAACCTTTAAGAGGTAGGACGGAGTGGGAAGTAATTAGGATTGTGGTGGGCATCACCCTTGGAAGAGATTAAAGAACTTTTGAAGAACAAGGCTGGTTCTCAAGGGAACAACCACCGGTCATAGTGAGCCTGGCACCTTCTCCTGAATCCCTCTTTCATATGTGACTGGTTCCCTTTCTGATTCTCTGCCATACTGTGACAAGTGGTCCTCACAAGGCACTAGCACTGTGTTAAATGGAAGCCTCAGCCACTGGAATCATGAGCCAATAAACCTCTTTACCTAGCCTTGGGTATTCTGATGTAGCAACACAAAAATCTAATACATCAGCTGATAGCTTCTACCTTCTTCAAGGAGAAGCCTGGGTCATCTATTGAGAATGAGGAGACAAAAGAAAATGTGCTGAAAAAACAAAAAGGATGAATTCTTTATTGACTTTGAGGTTGTAAAATGCTATAAATACTACCTAAATGGGAGGAACTTAACGTATTAGAGAGGAGCAGTAAGAAAAATTTGTTTATATTTTTCAGTGGCTAAGAGAACACTTTGAAAGCAGCCTACTGGGGAAGAAAAAGAGGACATCCCTGTAAAGATTTAATACAACTATTTTAAACAAAGAGACCCAACTCTGTAGGACTTACAGAGTCAAAAACAAGAGTACAGAGCCTGTTGTCAACTTAGTCTCAATCTTCAGAGTACCTCCTTTTTAAAAATTTACATTAAACTTTAAATCCCCCCAAACACTGAAGAATCCTATCACTTTGATTTTTAGATGCTATTAAATAAAGATCTCAAAAGGGCCAGTGAGATAGCTCAGCAGACTAAGAGCCTACTTTGGCAAGTGCAGAGACTAGGGTTTGATCCCCGGTCCTGAATACTGCACCAGCCCCACCCCCCAGGGCACACTGAGCCTGTGACTGAGTCTGGGTGTGGTGGTGCACGCCTATAATCCCAGTGCTGGGAAGGCTGAAAACAGGAGGATCAGTACGGGTTCAAGCTGTATAGTGAGACCCTGTACCAAATACATAAAATGAAAAAAATAAAACAAAAAATAAACTCAAGACTTCTAAAGCAGATATAAAAGCAAGTTCATAAAGATAGACAAATGTGAAATGACAAAATAAAGACACCTGTAAAAAAGTTCTAAAGTAGGAAAAAGTAGTCTTTATGGTTTTTAAGGGGAACTGTCTTCCAATCAAAATTAGACAGGGACAGCTATAAGAGGCAGTACTCAAAAAGCAAATAAAATAAGCCCTCATTCTCCTGTCAGAAGATGCAAGCTATAGAAAGCTTATTTGGGCAAAGTAAGATTTTAAAACATCACACAACCTACAGCAGAAGACAAAGTCATTACCAGCAACAATTATAAGGTAGCTTGTACGTGTCCTATAAATCAGAAACAAATTTGACATTAATATATGCATTCTAGCCTTATTTGTCCCCCTACCCCCATACCAGGGATCGAATTCAGGACCCTGTGCTTGCCAGGCAGGCACTTATGCTGCTAAGCTGTATCTCCAGCTCCTGAATTTCTATTTTATGGAGCAAATCCCCATCTTACGATCTTTCAGAGCATTATAACTAAAGTGGTTTTGTTATTTCTACTGTCTTACTGGCCAGATATGAATTAAATGTGATCTAGGGTCATGGGTTGTTGTAAGTTTATGCGCTGCTAGCAGTATAAGTGCTGCCCAAGCAAGCATAGTTGTCTTCGGTTTAGGAGATCTTCAGTGACAAACATGGAGCTGTCATCCCTGGTGATAACAAAGCCTTCTTGGAAATTAATTCTTCCTAAGGCCTTGACTAAGGCTCTTTTTGAGTGAGTATTGCCCTCCACACTTATGTTCATTATGGTTTACTTGGTTTGGTGGTTTCTCCTCACAGATTTGCTTGTCAGCAGGTAATGCACCATAAATATTTTTCTCTATTAATGAAACCCTTTCAGTTGGAGGTCCCTATTTGTAAACTTTGGAGATTGGGGGTACTAGCAACTAGACCCAGAGCCACAAAGCTACATCTTACCCTTAAACTTTTTTTTTTTTTAATTTTTTTAATTGAGATAGGGAATCTCACTAAATTGCCCAGGCTGGGCTTAACTTTGCAATCTTCTTGCCTTAAACCTCTCAGAGTGCTTGGATTATACCACCATGCTCAGCTTCACACTTTTTAAAGAGCTTGTCAAGGTCTGCAAAAGCTTTTTTAAACTTTTATTTTGAATTATCTTATGGATTTTCTTCTCCTGCAAATTCCTTCTTACTCCTTCTTCAGTTCTTCAGGTCTGTACAGGAATTTTTCAATTTTTCAATTCCATTATAATCTTATGGGACTCTCTGTGACAGTTACACTGGACTGTCAACTTTCATTAGTTTGCAAGCTGCTAGGAGAGTACTAAGGCCCACTTTTGGTCAGGCTGGGTTGGTCATGGAGGTTCTGCCTTCAGCTGTTCCTCTGCTTTGTCGTGTGTTGAACAACTTTCATCCACCAGGCCATTTGTCAACGCAATTTCTGATTTAAATCCATTCTACTATAGATTGAAACCATAAACTAAATAAAGCTCTTCTTTAAGTTGCAAGTATCAGGTATTTTGCCCCAGGGATACAAATGTGACTAAAACACACTCTTTGAAACAGTGCATGACTGTTAAAATTACTTTTGATGTGGTTTGTGTAACTCTTTGTGCCACTCTTAAGTCACACAGAAGCAAAAAAACCACAAACAAACAAAAAACACCCCCCCCCCCAAAAAAAAAATTCTATGGGTTACATTTGGGGATCCTTACTTTTTCTGGTGAGAGGTGGTACGCCGGGTACAAAAGACAGCGATGATCACGACCACCACAATGGTGACAACGCCAACAGAAACAATGATGACCAGCAGCATATTGCTGTCTAGAGGAGAGGGGCTTCCATGAGGGCTGTTGCTGCCTGCATAGGGAAAATGGTACATCTATTAGTTTGTTAAAGAATTACAAATGCATTCACCTAGGCCATAGAACTGGTCCAGTTTACTTCAGGTGAGCTCCTTTATAACACGCATCACTGTGCAGCATGAACTGCTGCATGAAGATGGCTCTTTCTTCTGCACTATGAGCTCCTGGAGAGCTTAGACTCTGTCCTATGCTTCAGGCTCACCATAGAGCCTTGCTCAGAGAAGATAATCAATGAAAGCTTCTTTAATTTAAGGAACATTTAAGAACTTTCAAGTGTTCAGATATAGTTTGATAAATAAAGTTTTGCTTCTACATAAACATGATATACAAATTCATCTCGAAAATAAACTATTTCTGAATCATTTGGGTTTTTTTAGCTTTCAAAACCATCTTAAAATATATATGTGTACAAATGTTCCTCTAACATATAGAGGAATGAAGATTATGAAAATATTACTTGAGAAAATTACCCGTTCTTTTCAAATGAACACACAGCTTTGAGAGGAAATTTTTTCCTCTCAACATCAGGAAAAAAGTAGGTCTGAAGATATGTACTAATACTATGTATTATGTGCTAGCCAATGTTCTAAGGTCAACAACAAAGATAGGGGGCCTGCCCCGTAGCTCAGTTCTTTAAGTGGCTGCTTCAACAAAGCAGTCAGCCTCAGGTTGCTGTGGCTTGATCCCCAGAACTCAAGCCAGCCAAACCTGCCCTGAAGGTATTCTGAGCCAGCCAAACAACAACAGCAACAACAAACCCAAACAAAACAATAACAAAAAAACAACAACAAAGATAAAATGTTCAGGGCAGAGCTGGGTAAATAATAAATAAGGTATTACTAGTTAATAATGAGTACTATGGAAAAAATGAGAAGCTGTGATACAAAGTGAGTGGATGGCTAATTCAGACTGAGTGGTTAAAAAGCTTTTCTGGATCCAGCATAGATAACCTCAGGAGGTCACTCTCCCTGGTTCTGTCTTAAGAGGCAGAGGGAACACAGGGCTACGGCCATGTACATAGTCATTTTCCATGATTCTGAAGAAGTTGGCTCGGAGCCTGCATGTACATATTTGAATAATTATTTCTTGCTTGCTTTATTATTTTTTTTTAGAAAGATCTCACTATGTAGTTCAGGTTGGCCCTAAACTCACAATGTAGCCCCCAGGCTGGTCTTGAATTCACAGCCATCTTCCTGCGTTAGCCTCCCAAGTGCTTGGATTATGGGCATGTACCACTACACCTGGCTCCTCCAATTTTTGAATCCTGTGGATAGTGACTAAGGAGCCATGCCAATCAGGAAATAGCCATCTAGTGCACTCAACTTGGTTCTAAGTTTGATTTGCTTTCATCTGTTTCATTGGATAAGTAGATATATAGAAAGAAAGAAAGAAAGAAAGAAAGAAAGAAAGAAAGATGAGAAGATGCCATTTGAGCTGGTATTTCAATAACAAAAAAGATCCCATCATATAAAGATCTGAGGGACGTGAATATTCCAGGGGGAGGGAACAACTACGGAAGGATTCTGAGGTAGAAAAAGGCACTCAGAGTTGCTTAAACAGAGAGTCAATTTAAGAGGGAAAGGAGTGAGGGAAAACAATTCAGATGAGGCCAGAGAAGTGTGTAGAAGTCAGACTATTTAGGATCTCAAAGAAATGCAGATTTTTTTATTTTCCTATTGCTTATGAGTTCTCGACATTGTTTTAAAAACTAAGGCCCTCTGGAATGTAGCTGAGTCTTGTTGCACTCTCTCTCCCTTTCTTCCTCCCTCTCTTTCTCCCTCCCTCCCTCTCTTTGAAAGATAGGATCTTGCTATGCATTCTAGAATGGCCTTGAACTCACTATTTAGCCCAGGCTAGCCTTGAATTTGTGGTGATCCTCCTGTTTCAGCCTTCTGAGTGCTGGGATTACAGGTATGCATGGCTACACCTGGCTATTTCCTGCTATACATTTTCCTTTCAACTCAGGTCATGAATAGTCACATTATGTAATGTGATAACTGCCACAGAACTAACCACCATGGATAGTTGCTGTCCTGTAGCTACTCTATCTTCCTCTTATGTAACTAGTAACTAGAACTATACAATAATGATATGAACTACCTTGCCAAGTAGTAAGTCTTTAGTTATTAAAGGTATTTTAGAGGGGCATCTTACCAGTGTGAGATGCTGTAGAAGAAATTTCTATCAGGAAGAATGGTCTGTAAAACCATTTTTTAAAAAATTTCCTAAAGTGGGGCTGGTGAGATGGCTCAGTGGTCTAAAGCACCTACTTAGAACAAGCTAAGCTAAACAAAGCACAGGGACAGCGGTTCAATCCCCAGCACCACATGCCAGCCAGCCCCGCCCCCTGGTGGGCTGAGCTGGCCACACACAAAAATAAATTATAAAAAAAAAAAAAAATAAAAAAAAAAAAAATTCCTAAAGTGATTCTCATATACCACCTGGCTTTTAAATTTACGATCTAATCCAAACTCACTTGTTGTGGCAATCTCTTCTACAACACTGGATTAGCTGACCTTCCAATTTTGATTCTACGATTTTATAGACTACATCTAAGCACAGTGCTAAATCTGGACTGATTTGGAAGGGCTTAAGAGCTTATTCTTCTACATTTGGTTCAATCATTTTTATCCTTCATTTCTGAGAAAAAGGTAAGCAGACTGCCAACTTAAATTGTACATAGTAGTCTTTGATAAGGTAACATTTTTACTTAGGGAAAGACTAAAATGCTGGGGCCAGTAAAACAAAACAGACTGTTCATGTTAACGTTTTCCTTAACATTGTTATTAATGGTGCTGAGCCACTGTATCAGGTATTTCGTGGAGTGACCATTGCAGGTCAGAGGCTGGAGAGCTGGGGATGGGAGGCAAGCAGAAGTGGTAGCAGTCCTTTCTGCATGCCAGACAGACAAATTCTCATTTAAGTGCATCTGATACCTAACACATGCCCCACATAAAAGCTTCCACATAAGTAAAACTAAGAATGAGTTGCCACAGCGGGTATCAAACTCCTGTGTGAGGGAACAGAACATGCCATCTCCATGCCTCATCTGGGCTACTGCAACAGCTTCCTAATGACTTTTCCCTGATTTCATTCTTTTTTTTTTTTTTTTTCCAATTCATTCTTTGTTGGTATCAGAGTTACAGTAGCCACAAGTAAATGGAAGTCTTTGTGTACCAGTAGTCTCATAATTCACGTTATCTAGAGGCTAACGCTCTAATTTGTAAGCACTGGCTTTTGAGCCCATACCAGTATGATTCTACTATATCTTTAACTCAATCTCTCCCTTGTCTCTAGACAGAGCTGCTTTTTGCATATGACATTTTTGTCCTGGAATGTCTGACCCCTCCCTGAGATTAAGCCATCTTCCGTGCATCTTTAAAACTTGGGTTCTACAAGGCTTTTCCTTTTTCTATTAGGCAATTATTCCTCTTTCTCTACTAGCTTGCCACAAAGAATGTGAAACTTTAAAAATATGCATGCATGAATAAATGCATAAATTAAAGGAGAGACAAAGAGACAATAAATTTTCTCACATCTTAACATTATAGTGGGAATACCATGGAAAGTAAAAGATGCATGGAGAACCTATAAACAAAGTCTTCAAGCTTAGACGATAAAATATCTAGAAGCACAAAAGCTTGTATGGTTCTAAAAACAGGTTGATTTCACTGAAGTATGGGTAGAACCATTTCTGATTCAGCCATCCAGCCAGCCAGAGTGAAGGATCACTGCATTCCCGTAACTAGATTGTGAATCTCCAGAGGATAGGCTTTCCTCTTTAATCCATCTCCTGAGCAGAAGTGATAACACACGGTCAATTCTATTACCTACTTCTGTGGACATTTTGCCACTTTGGATTCTCACATGTGGCACAGCACCCCCTGATTTTTAGGGTGCTATGGCACTGGAAAAGCCAAACAGAAAGAAACCTAGGGTTTGGTCCTAACTAGAATCAGTGGATGCTCATTACTTTTCTACTGAGTCTCTCCTTCCTGTATTCTCAGGGTCAAATGTGATTTCACATGTGAATGTAACTTATAAATGGTGAAGAAAGTTCTATAGAGAAGAAGGTGTTATTAAATTAGAAGATATCAGCTCTTAGGGTGCTGAGAACAGTGGGAAGAATTTTCTAGAATTCCCAAAGTAAAACAGTGCAGTTAGTAGTACAGGGAGAACTTTAATGGTACTGAAACATTTCTTTGCTTGTTTTGGGTGATAGCTAATCCTGCTAGAGGGTTTATTTTATTTTACTTTTTTCCCATAATTTTATTGAGAAAGAAATAGCAACGAGACAGTTTCAAATCAAATTGGCAGGACAGTTTCAATAATTAATATATTGCATACTGCCTTTCTAGTGGTTATTTGCTGTACAAGACTGCAGACATGATATCCTATTTACAAACATTATTAGAACAAATCCCTCTAGTCATTAAGAGAATGTAACTATATATCTATCCTAACCATTTTGAATACACAGATACAAAATGGACATTCATCTGTATCCCCTTTTTGTTTAGTTCCGTCATCTGAATATTATAGGTGTGTTAACTCAGCAAAATATTCTAAAAGAGTCCAGTAGTCCATAATAGTATTGGGTCTTCTGCTTGACTGGCAATGTCAGAAGTTGTTGACCTGAGTCCCCTACAGCTCAACATAACACCATGGCTTGACTTCTTATACTTCATTTTTATACTTTTCTGCTGGATGGTTAAGACCAAGGTAAAGCAGGACCTATGCAACAAGAGTTGTAGCTTTTTGGTCTGAGAAGGTCAGTGAAATGCCCTCAGGATTTGTCCTGAGATCCTGTACCTCAGATTGTAGATCCTTTGTCAGTGTCAGCCATGTGGATGAGTCATGGCCATTGCGAGGGTTTATTTTTTGAAAAGTCTCTTTTTCTACAGATAGGAATTTATGAATTGGTCTAAATAGTAATCAATATTTTAATTATTTTAATAATTATGGACTTACCTTAAGTTGGATATGTGGGGAAACAATTTTATCAGTGAACATTTTTGACAAACTGACTAATGCTAGATCTTATAATTAAAAAAGAACAGGCTAACTTGCTGCAATCTACTACTCAAGCTATAAAAAACATTTCAGGACTTTAGCAAAACTGTATCATGTTCACAGGAAGCTAAAAATGCCAAAGGAAGGGCTTTACCACTCATTGGAGGTTTGTAGTCATGTCCTAGATCTGGCATCCGACTTCCTTTTCCTGCAGATCCTGAGGCTGAAGCAGAAGAGATCATGTCAGTAATGACTTAACACATTGCTGTGACAGTTCACTTCACAGCTACAAAAATTTCTACAAAAAAAAAAAATCAAAAACAATTTCAGTCTACTTGTCCACAAGAAAATGAAGTCACATAAATAATGGGAAAATATAATCTATGTGTGCAAAGCAAACTAAGGTTTAGCTTTCTGTACAATGAGGCATCTGAAAGGCTGACACTTCTGCTTTACTGCTGGGACTAGACTGCTACTGCTGATCAGCAAGTGGGGACAGACCCAGTTCTCTCGCCCAGGGAACAGCTCCCCAAGGGCTGCTCAGGACTTATGGCAGAAGGAGCTTCTACTGGAAAAAGAAGCAAGGGACACTGTTAGGTCAATGCCTGCACCAAAGAGCAGAGTTCCTCCAAGGGACACAGCTATGCTGATCTGGTCTATTGGTCGTCAATACGGTTTCCATTATTTTCTCAAATTGTAACTTCCTTAGCCTAAGCAGGAGCACAAAGATAAATGGAGGTTTAATTTGAATTCTCAGTTCTTGCTCTGTCACGTAAACATCTAAAGATGGAAAAATATTATCTTCCTTCTAGCTGCTCACAAAGGATACTGTCTCTGAGTCCATCATCACAGAACATAAAAAAAAGAGACTGCTGGCTTCAGGCTTGGGGCCATCCCAGTAGCAGCCAGTGCAAGCATCTGTTTTTTAAAACATTGAAGTCCATTATTCTTGGACTTGAACCTGTTCTTCAGTTATAGAAAAAGCTGCTTTGGTAAAGCAAATACAATGAGTTTTTCCCTAATAAAACAAAGGTATCCCTCAATCTAAGGTTTGTAGCCAGAAATCAAATATCATACTTCCCCCCAAAACAGGCTAGAGAAACCAGCAAAGTGAAAGCTTTTCCTTATACTTAATATCATGTAACATTTAACACTGGAATACTGGCTCTATTATATGTAACTGATGTTGGGCAAGCTGCTTTTTTTTTGGGACCCAGTTTCCTAATTATAAAACAGGAAAAAGAATGGTATTTACTTCACAAAACTGTTATGAGCATTAAATGGAAATTTAATATCAATATTTTGACTATTTGATGCATAGTAAATGTTCAATAAGTGTTACCATTATTACCAGCAAAATAAACCTATACTATCTTTTCATGGAGGGAGAAAGCATGGAACTTCAGAAAATACTTGTACATGATAGTTACTTCTACTAATAAAGCTTTACTAGAAAAGCATAAACTAGATGTGTTTCTGCAAAATAAATGAAAGCAATTCAAATCTGAAGTTATCTGTAACTAGTTCATTTAACAGAATAAATCCAGAGACTAAAATAATCTTTGTTGTTTCTAGAGGCTGAAAATCCCCGCAAGAAAGTTAACAGAAGTTTTTAGAAGTCCAAAAGGGCATATTCCTGAACTGCACTGAGTCCCTGAGCCCTCTTCCATTGTCCACACTTCTTCTTTTGCCCACTTATTCTGTGCCATCACTTCCCCAGAGAGCACACATCCTGTGTCAAGGCTTGTTATCCATGTACTTCTTTCACTCTGAGTCTAGCTGGCAGGGCCAGCCCAGGCCATTAAGATTTTCCTATCTGAGTGTTTGTGATAATCAGCTACAAACTGATTTTGTAGCAAACTATGCAGAACACTGGGTTGTGAAAATAATAGCCAAAGAACACACTCTGCCAATAGACTAATCAGTTTATATTTCTATTTCTCAACATTTTTTCTTTCAAACTTAGTTCATTTTTTTTTTTTTTTTTTTTTTTTGTATTTTAGTACAGAGTCTACAGGGTCTCACTACGTAGATTGGACTTGTAGTGATTCTCCAGTGTTCAGCCTCCCAAGAGCTGGGATTACAGGAGTGCACCACCAAGCCCAGTCTCAATTGCCATTTCAGATAGCCCTGAAGGCGGGGCTGGCACGGCATGCTGGGGGTTTTCCTTTAAATATAAACTGGGCAAGAAATTCAAGGATGCACGTAGCAACACAAGGACCAATATGTAAGGAATTGTAATTACTGCAGGTATGGTGCAGCTAAGAACTGCACTGTGGCTGCCAAGTGGAGAGAACAATGAGCACATTTATATTCTGTGCACACACATTACAGTTTTTTACACCCCCATACTTCTACACACACAGACACATACAGACACACACAGACGTTTCCAGTTTCCCTGTCTAATGAAAGATTCATTGAACGCAAACCCATGCCCACAGCCCTGAACTGTGACACCTCAAGTTCTGACTCTTTCTTGTATTGACTAAGATCTAAAGATTCTTTATTTCTAATAGCTACTCTTAAATTACAAAATTTACATTTATTATTCTTTTTCAGTATAGAAATATAGCTAGCTGACCTTTAAGAAATCAGATGATGGATGATTTCAGAAAAATCAATACCCAAGCTTCCTAAGTTTTTATGTTAATAACTTTGTCTTCTTTTAAAATGATCAGAGACATTGAAGAGAAAAAATGGAAAAGATCTCTCAATGAACTCACTGTAACAGAATAAAGAAAGCACTCCTGGTGATGGATAATCATGGCATTTAGTAAGATAAATGCGCAGGTTTGGGGAGTACGATATTCACTGAATTTGATTACAACTTTTCATTTAGAGACACTACTGAAATTCTATAAAAATTTGTTTAAGTGCTTCTTCATGTTTCCACTGCCCATCATTGTTATAGAGCTTTAGTATCACAGAGCATGAAGATAATCTGGCCCACTCTTATGCCCAATCTCCTACAGCTGAGGAGTTGGTTTATTCAACTCAGTTTTCTTCCACCAGTCTGTTTAACTACTAAGTAAATCCTCCAGCTTTTCAGATACCCCACGTGCTACCAACACAGGACTCCATTCCACACTGGCCAATAAATATGTGGTTTTAATACATGATACTGATTTTCAAGAAAAAAAAAGAAACAAAAACAAAAAAAGCTAATAAGAGGTCACAAAAGAGGAAAGAGGACAGAGGCCATCTACTCATTTACCTTGGTCATTAGGCATTTTATCAGAGGAGTCCGCTAACAGGCCAAGCACAGGGGAAGAAAAAACAAGAGCATGGATCACAAGCTTTGAAGATGGGACAAATAGAAGTCTTAAAGGAAAAAAATAAAATTCCCACAAACTTCCAAACAAATTGAGTCTTGCTTTTAAGAGAAAAGATGTTTGGGTTTCCATAATTCCACAGATTCAGTTACCAACTAAATTTCATTAGCCTAAAGTTTCAATATTTTATTTTCTTATCTAAAGTTTTAAATAAATGGTATAAAAATCTCCTAGTCTCTTGTTCTCTACAAAGGCCCACAAATAAGCCTTTTAGGGTAACAGCCTCTGTGTGTTGAAAGAAAACCATCCATCACAATAACATGCTTTGTCACTATGAATGGGAAACAAAAGGGTCACATCTGATTTAACTGCTAAAAACTTGTACACAATGAAATTCATCTGCTCCAAACAGCCTGGAGCCAAAGTTCCCCTGCTGTGAAATGATTAGATCAGTAACCTGGGTAGTACTGATTTGGTGGTCACTGGGTGGGTGAGGGACCATCTGGGATAAATCTTCACACTATGGCTGATATATTACTCACAGGACTTCTTATATTAGTCATAGATTCTATCTGCCAAAGTGATATGTATAAGCACAGCCCCACTAAACAATACCCTCAGCTCTGGGAGATTTACCTTTAGGTGTTCTGAACTGCACAGCTTCAGACATGGGCCCCATGCCCTTTGAGTTCCGGGCCTGGATTTTGAAGTAATATGGAGTGTCAAGTGTTAGCTCTTGAATCTGGTGAGTCAGTCTGTTTCCCACGACGGGCTCAATAACCCAGTCATGTATCTCAGCATTCACATCTGTACTGTAATATATGATGTAGCCTGTCCAAAGGAGTTAATAGGAAAATAAATCTCATTCCTGTTTTTCTTTTTGTAATCAGGAAGCCAGTAAGTATATATGACCATTATATGCATACTATAGCACAGTGGAAATGAACCCATGGCACATGTGTACCGTTGAAAACTCTAATAAAAGGTTTGCTGTCACTGTCACAGCATGCTTAAATAATGCATCCACAAGAGTATACAATTAAAATAATGCAGTTTTAAAAATCAGTAATGACCTGATATGCTGGTTTAACTTTCATGAAAGTGGTATCTTGGGAGAAAAAAACTGGCAGATGGGCAGCAAGCTCTGATTATTTCAGACGCTAGTGAGTGAAACCAGTGAACTGTCACCAAATACTTCCACCAGGGGGCACTCAATGCCTATGGATGAGGAGGAAGCCTCAACTGCTAGCCTACCTGATTCGCACAATAAAAACCCACTACTGTTACTGGTTTTAAAAAGACAAGGTAAAATGCAATCTGAGTCAAGTTGTGCTTGGTTCTTTCATGGAAGGAGAAGAGTCAAAAAACCAAAAAAAAAAAAAAAAAAAAAAAAAAAAAAAAAAAAAAAAAATCAAAGTTTATGGAAAGGGATTTCTATGGAAAGGGATCATAGGGAAAGCTAAAAGGAAGATGCTATAAAACACTTTCCCTTAGGTCATCTTATTCTTATTTCAGAATCAAAACTCATTCAACAGCACCCACTTCCATTGGAGCAGAGGCTCAAAGTGGAAGAAGGACCAATAGCCAAATCTCACTAAGCTTTCCTTGATAAGGCTGAGGAGGGCCTAGTGTCATCTCCACTATGGAGGAAATCTTCTGAAAGTCTGAAGAAAAATCCCAGCTTCCTTTCGCAGCCAAGGCAAATTCAAGCTTTGTAAGAGCCCAGGAACCTGAAGTGGAAGACCTTGCAGGCAAAAAAATCTAATGGGCTTTGGGTGATTTAGTGTAAAAAAGTAGAATCATTATTTATGGCTTCCTGTCCTATAGAATTAGGTGGGGATATACGACTCCAAAGATGGCAATTTAGGCAGTGAATAACTTTCCCAAGGAAAACATGTTATGTCCATAAAGTCCCAGTATAGCCAGAGGCTGTCTAGGGTATCTTATCCCTGTTAGGCTTGTAGGCAGCATGAGGCTGAAGCACCAGCTGGAGACTCATTTCAGTGCTACTGTGAGCAAAGAGCACATGCCCTTGTTCCACTTTCAAAGACCACCATGGCTCACACCACCCATAAAATGAACAAGTCAGACTTCAGATTCCCACTCTTGAGAATACAGTAATTTCCTAGAACAGGGCACAGGCAAACATACATTCTGAGGCACCATACCTGTAATTTTGCCATTGGCTTCAGAGGGAGGCTGCCAATTCACAATTATGGTCCTTGGTTTTCCCTCTTTACTTACAACTGTCACATCCTTAGGTGGAGAAGTAGGAACTACAAAATAACAACACTTTGAATAATTCCTGTTTACTACAATATAAGTTGACCATTTTCTCAACCTTTTCCATTTGTAAAGTACAAAAAAGTATAAGATAAAAAAGTTAAGGCCTCCCAGCTTCAACTCACAGCCTATGTACAAACAGTTCCCATAAAAAGAAGATATACAAAGTACAAAAGAGGAAACGTACTCTGAAGACACAGAATTGGCATCTCAGTTGGGGGTAAGGTATATACAGGATAGCTAGGGAAATCAAGTGTCATTTGTACCAAGTATCTGTTATATGCTAGACATTGTACAAAAAGTATCTCATTTAATATTTATGGCAACCTTCAGAGATCACTATCACTGTCCATGCTTTATAGGTCAGGACATCAAAAATGAGAGAAGTTAGGTAATTTACCCAAGATGACTTTCTTTCCCTCAATGTAGATTGTTCTGCTAGAATATTTTTAAGTGTAGAGTAGTTTTCTCCCTTAAAAATAGCTGGATAAAAAAAAAAAAAAAAAAGAATAGTTGCGCTCCAAACCAAAGAACTTTTTTTTTCTTTTCAAAGTTTTATTGATAAACATTTAGCAATGAGACAGTTTCAAATCAAATCGAAAAAAAGTATACTTTTTCATTTCTTTTTTTTCTTTTCTTTTTTTTTTTTTCAGAACTGGGGATTGAACTCAGGCCCTTGCCCTTACTGGGCAACCACTTATTCTACTGAGCCATCTCCTCAGCCCCAAAAGAGAAAGGGTCGGGACGGGGGCGCGAACTGGCGACCTCGCGCTCCGCGGCCTGGCGCCGAGACAGCCGCGCCAGGTCGCCGCCTCAAAGAACTTTTAAGATCCCTATGTCCGCAAAGAAAAAATGATCTATGAATTGACATTTTTCAATTTAAGATTACACTAAAAGCATATGTAAACTAATGAGGTTACTGCTCCAGAAAAAATCTACAAAGAGCCAACAAAATGAAAATAACAGTGTACTTCTTGTATTTCCTTCCATGTTATTATAGCTGAAAACATTTAATGTTCTAGTAGGGAAATGTGCAAATTAAGTACCTCCTCAAAAGTACTCTTTTGAAATACTAGAATTCTGGTATAAGAGGGAGGGAAGCCTGGTTAAACACAAGCATCTTAAGGGTAAATACAAATTTTATTTATGAACTAATGGTTGGAATTAAAGAAAAAAGATATTTTTAAAACTGGTGAGAAAAGCAAAGTAAAGGTCTATTTCAACTTCTGGGTAGTAGTGGATTTCTAACTCTTGAAGGTCAACTCCTCTTTCTGCAGGCATTCCAATCAACTCTGCAGAAAAGTCAAGCTCATTTTGTGGAGAATTTGCACTGCTATATTATTCCTACACAGGAGAGGAAGACAGTGGAGTCAGCACAGGTAGAGATACCTAATGGTCACACATATACCCTTACTAAGATAGCCTAAGGGGAAGTAGAAGGTGAGGCCTAAAAGTAGGCAGAAAGTAAACAGTCCAATCTGGAGAGCCTGCTCTCTCCTTACTTTACTTAGCTATCTTTTTTTCTCTCATGGTTACTCACAAACAAAACCCAAAAGGCTATTTCAGTGAAAGATTTTGCAAAGATACTAACTTTTTCAAGAAAAGTTTTGAAGTGGCTTAAGGGTGTCAAGAGATTAGTCTCTAGCACACATGGTTGGCAACTACTTGGTGAAGGACAGGTCATTTCAGTTTTTCAATCTTAATCTACCAGATAAATAGGACCAATGACAATAATCTCTTACATCTATCCAGTGGTTCATAATTTACCATGTGCTCTCCCATCTGTTTCTCTTATAATAATCCTGTAGGAAAGGCAGGGATTATTCTCTCTCATTTAGAGAACTGAAGAGACTGAGATTCAGAGAGGCTAGATGACTTACTCTTGATCATACAGTCAGTAGATAAATGACCTAAGATTGAACTAAAGTCTCTTAATTCCTGAATTTAGTAAGCTTTGCACTACAGTATCCTGCTATTTGCTTATTTTCTTGTATAGTGCTGAAGCACAACTCCAAATGTAGCTGCTCACTGTATTCCGTAAATATGTCAATTAATGTACTCAATTCATTCTGTGGGTGGTAAAAGCAGGTAATGAGAAGTCTCATGACTTAGCATATGGCACAACATTACCACAGACTTCCACTGCCTTTGCGTTTTTCAAAGGGAAAAAAAAAAACATGTGACGTAGATTCTGAAAAAACATACCCAATTCAAAGGTGGTCCCATGGGCTGTCATACTCCACGTGCTTGATCTTCGACCTTTGGTCACCATCACAGAGAATTCATAGAGTGTATTTGGTTTTAAACCAGTAACCAAATAACTTAGAGTTGTTGCATTTGCATTCTGAAAAAAGTAGAAATCAGGAATTTTAAAATTAGAAAATATCACTGACTAGGTTTTTTCATCCAAAGCCAATGTGTCCGTACCTTGTACTTGGTGTTTGCTGGGATGTTGGTTTTCCATCGAACTGTGTAGTACCGGGAGTCCGTAATCTTCTGATGTTTGGGCAGGGAGTTGTCCGCCCAGGTGATCCTTATGGTGTCATGACTCAGAATGGAAGCCTGAACTCCCACTGGTGGCATCATGGGAGTGGGATCTGGCACTGGAGTGTATGGAGCATTAATAACAAATAAATCAACTTCAGAAGTGTCTGGGCAGAAAGTAATTAAAAAAGGGAAGGGGCATTTTAATGTAAACAAAAATAAAAAGGAAATGCAGGGTAACATAATGGAATGAAAGATGAGGAATGGAGAAAAAGAAAGAAAATCCAGAGTTAATAGATAACCATCATTCATTTAAAAAGAATATTTCCGCTGTGTTCTTTCTGGAAAAAAATTGTAGGAAAATGTTAAGAGAAGTATCAACTATCTTCTGTACTGCATACTACAGGCACATTAAAGTACGTGATTATATTAACATATACATACTACAATTTTCTTACAATTACTTGAAAGTTATACCTCCTGTACAAAAGGACCATAAAAGACAAAAAAATTGGTTTTCAAATAAAGGGTATAATTTCTCAACCAGTAGCACACAGTTCATTGTTTGGTTTGAGATTTTAGTAAAATGCTGAATTTTGGAAATCTGAGTTATCAGTGCATATCACCAGACATGAAAGGGCCTAACCTTAACCAAGACTTGAATGCTAGCTCATGGGTTGAGTTTAGACTTGCTGGTATCTTAGGTGAGAGGCAGGGTGGCAATTTAGCACACAGCCAAATCAACCAAAAGAACTCAAGGGCATGCTTCTTCCTTAAAGAAAGTAAGATGACACTATGATGGATTTCTGCTGCATTTTCTCCTGCAGTCCAAGAACCACCCAAAGATGAGCCCCCATCAGCTAAGGGAAATGCTGCCTTGTGGATATCATGGACTCAGGTACAATAGCCTTCAAGAACTGCAGAAACCATCAGAGTACTCATCTGATGGAAAGTCAGAATTCAGACGTTGTGCTGTATCCCTGGCAATGGGCACATCGTTAAGTGCTACCACCCACACACACCCACACACACACACACACCCCTAAGGACCATGAGCCTAGAGCAATACAGCAAGATCCCTTTGGGCCTTCACAATTCTGGGTTAGGTTCTCCAAGTACATATACATATACTGATTTATTTTAAGTTCATGTTTTCAAATGGGTTTCCCACAGTTATGGTGACTAGTTCTTCCTGTAACTTAAAATCTGAAGTGACACAGGCCTTACAAATACTGCACTAACGTAATAGTCTCCATAAATGTATTTCCTGCATAATAAGATCTAAAAATAACAGAGGAACAGCATACATTATAATCAAGGGCTTTGCTGAAAGTCTGTCAGAATATAGTAATTAGGGACAGAAAATGCATCTTCAGGTACAGAGATCATTAGAATTCTTTGAGAAATTTTTTTCTTATATGTACCAACCCTTTGAAAAAGTAATTAGGTTATATGATTCAGGAACATTTCTTTGTGTACTAGCCAGTGTATAATACTTTCAAACCACTAAACCACCTAAAATAATTTGTTTTCTTTTTCAGCCTAATTAAGAAAGTAGAAGAACACTTCAGTATTTTTTTTGTACTTTTCTGCCCCTTTGCTGGAATACTAAAGCTATTTTTAAAAGAATTTAAAAATTGCAGGCACATAGAAGACAGACAGGACAGAACTACTAAACATATAGTAATGATGTTAGTCTGAAGTAAAAGCTTTATTAAAAACAAAAAGGGACAAGGGCCAGGGAGACAGCTCAGTGGCATAAGTGCCTGCCTGGCAAACAAAAGGCCCTGAATTCATTCCCTGGTATCAAAACAAAAATAATAAAAATAAAATAAAACAAAAACAAAAAGGGACAGAAATTAACTTTTAATAAGAATATTGCCAAGTCTGTATTATCATACAAAGCATCTAGGAGATGTCATACAATAACTATTCAAACTTTTGGGCAACAAATGAAGAAAAAGTAATTCTGAAAGTCTTTGGTTTTCTGAGCCTTTTACAGAAAAAAAATCACAATTCTACTACAATTACTTCAATAAACTTTCATTTAAGTCTAAATTGGTATCTACAGAAATTTTACAACTATGCATATTTATTTTAGAGATATTTAAAAGGTAATTCAAAACACAATACTTACTCTTATACAACTGGTCAAATGGATACCATCTTTGGCTTTATATCTTTTATATAAATATGAGACATATGAAAGGTATATAAAATTATATTTTCCTAACCAACTCAAGTGACCACAGAGCAAATGCTGCCTTCAGCAATCATATATATTTACCACCACACTCTGTAACCTATATAATTTTTCTAGGGATACAGAGGTACTTTCACTTTTTGACTCATTTTAGTTATAATTAATATGCCTAAAAGATAAAAAAATCACTTTAAATTTTTCCAAACTATGCTTTTTCAATCCTAACATCCTAGAAACACGTGCAGCTATCTACACAGAATAGCTTACACAACAGGTTTATCTTTTTCCAAGAAGCAAAATGGGAACAGAACTTTGCGTGCTGAAAGCCTACGGGCCCATTTTAAGCTTGCACCTTATACTACCATATACATTTCTTTCATGAGCAGGAAAGCGGGATCGATGCCAATATGTAAGCTACTGGGAAAGTGCTGATGAGCACCAGAGACAGAAAGCCCCTACCTGTGTGCGGCCTGGTCACAGCACTTTCATACAGCGGGATGCCTTCACCCACATTGTTAAACGCTTTCAGGGTGATCACATAGTGAGAGCTTGGATCTGAGGGAAGGAAAAACGAAATAATTGAAAATCCTTGAAACAAAAAATTTTCAATTCAATGATGCATAATCTTAATTGCAGAGAAGTTCAAGAAAGACAACATTTAAAAAAAATCCACAATTAAAAATTTTGAATCCCCGGTTCCTCAAAAAAAAAAAAAAAAGAAAAGAAAAGAAAAAATATTTTTTTGAGTGTGAGGAGAGAGTATGATGGGAAAATATCTGGACAGAGGAACTTCTGGTTTCAGTCTCAGTTAGTGGATGCTGACTGCACCTGACTCTTCTACTATGCTGTAGTGATGTTTGTTGCATGACGCAGAATTTGGATGAGAATGATTTAACAAGATTTTCCCATGCTGGAAGTCTATCAGCGGAGCTTGACTTTAAATGACCTCTTTTCCTTCCCTGAAGGACAGTGACTAGAACCACCAAGATAGAGAGAGAAGCAGGAGATGCACTAAGTAAGTGTGAAATGCCCCCAGTGCTCCAAAGGGGGCCTCCTGATCCAGGGCAGCAAGCCTCAGATAGCCAGCAGGCAGACTTCTTGGCTGGACAAGATATGATCCAAACTGGCCTAGAGCTGATTCTGCAATGTCAGACCAAAAGGCTGCATTTCATGTGGCCCGCACTACTTGAAAAACTTAAAATAGTTGCCCTGTTGGTTTGCACATCCACGCTTTGGATAATAATGGGCAACATGTGGAGGTACCTGGTACTACCAGGTCAGAAAGAAATGGTAACAAACAGAATCAATGCCTGACTGGTAAGGAAAAAGTGGATTGAGCAACATCCTAGACAATGTCTTTTTCTAAAACTGGGGACAGTGGCAAATCCATCAAGATATACCTTTCCAAGGCTTATTCTTTTTTAAAAAAAAATATTTATTTATTCATTTATTTGATACAAGGTCTTGCCATGCAGTTCCAACTCGCAGTGATCCTCCTGTCTCAGGTTCCCCAGTGCTGGGATTACAGGTGTGTACCACCACACCTGGTTTCAGTGGCTAGTACAGGCCCAGTGTGGAATGTGGTACTGGGGATCAAACCTGGGTTCTCGTGCTTGCCAGGCAGGTGCTTAGACTGCTCAGTTATCTCCCTACTTATTATTTTGCTGCTCTCTCCCTATGTACTGTTCTCTTAGGTTTTTTTTTTTTTGGCTCTGAATGCCTTCAGGGCATGATTGGCTGGCTTGAGTTGTGGGGATCAAACCACAGTAACCTGAGCCTGACTGCTTTGTTGAAGCAGCCACTTAAAGAACTGAGCTAAGGGGCAGGGCCCCTCTTAGTTTTGATTAGCTTGTAACTGCCCATTAACTGTGAATATGTAGCTCCAGGCTAGATCCTTATTCTGAACCCAGACTTCTATCTTCAGCTATGTTTGGCATCTCCTCTTGGATATCCCAAATCTTTCTCTTCCTTTTTTTCCTCCTTCCACTTCAGACCTGCTCTAGTATTTGCTAGTTTAGTAAACAGCACTATTACCAAGCCTGATGCTCAAGCCCAAAATCTAGGAATCATTAAGATCTCTCTCTCTCTCTCTCATCCTCTCTAGAAAAATAATCAAGACATCAATTCAGCTTATGTCTCGAGTCTTTCCTTGTTCGCTGTGCTCCATCTTTCCTGGCCACCATTCTGTTAACTGAGCACTATGTTCTTTTCCACCACTACTGGCTAGGCTGGGAACACATCTTATCTGTCCTCTACTAGATAAACCTATTCACCAGTTGGCCTCCACTTACATAGCCTGTAACACCATTTCTGCTTCTTAGCACGGTGAACACTTATTTTCAAATTGTATTATTTCTAATAACTATGGCCATGTCTATCTGATTCATTGCTCTATCTCTAGGAGTGACTGGGATATTAAATATCTGTTGATGGGTAGAAGTTTTGGGGGAAAGACACTAACTTCAAATCTTGGACTAGATGGAATCTGAATATTTGAGGTTCATAAACCCAACAGGCAAATGTGGATATGGATGGGAAGCTCAGGAGAGAGCTCTAGTTTCATGAATAAATTCCAAAATGCACTTCTTCACCTGTGAGTTGCTTCTTTACTCAGCATTATATGTATCTACATACATGTAGGTTAAAGTATACAGCTCAAGCTTACTTATGTCCAATTAATTTTGTCTTTATTACTTTTTAATATGCACTCTCTTTTCTACTAGTCTGCCTGCTTTCTCTCTTCCACATAGGCAGTGCTCCTTCTCTTTTCTCTGTTTCAAGCACTATTCTGACAATCTTTCAATCCAGGCTAGTCTTTTCCTGACTGCTCCGCTGCTTTGTTAGGTAGCTCTCCTTTCTCTGAACACACTTCACTTCAACTCACTTCATTGTTTCTTGTGTTTTATTTTCCTTCTCCTGCAAGACTGAAAGCACTGGAAGTTCAAGGACCATGTCCCGTAAGTACAAGGAAAAGGATTTCCATTTCAGCAGTTACATAATGGAAACAGCAGGAGGCTGGTCATCACAGGGACATTTCTGTCCTGAGCAAAGCTTTGCTTCTGCTCCCCAACAATTACTTTATAAGACTCCTTATGTGGGGAAGCACTTAAGAGGTTAGTGGTATGGTTTCTTCTAGAAAAGAAAAAGTGAAAGGCCACTTTGTTTTGAATAGATTTAAACTGTAGCTTATTTTTTACCAATAAAGATAAAGATGTATATGAAACAATAATTAAGAAATTTCATCAGTGCATATTCTGAATTAAAGTCTTTCAAAATAAGATTTATAATGATAATCCAATTTGGAAAAGCAATCATACCTTTCTAAATTAATTAATTATTGTAAAATATTAATCTTTCTGAAATATTTCTGGTTTTTAAATCAATTATGAGGAATGATTAGTATACAACATGTACCTGTTTCAGTATACACTAAATTTTTTTTAAAAATTTTTTTAATTTGTGTGTGTGTGTGTGTGTGTGTGTGGCCAGCTCAGCCCACCAGGGGGTGGGGCTGGCTGGCACGTGGTGCTGGGGGATTGAACCGCAGTCCCTGTGCTTTGCTAAGCTTGTTCTAAGTAGGTGCTTTAGACCACTAAGCCATCTCACCAGCCCCTACACTAAATTTTTTTTTTGAAGATTTTATTTATTTATTTATTTTTTAATATTTATTTATTTTTATTTATTACATTTATTTATTGTGTGTGTGTGTGTGGCCAGCTCAGCCCACCAGGGGGCGGGTCTGGCTGGCATGTGGTGCTGGGGATCGAACCGTGGTCCCTGTGCTTTGCCAAGCTTGTTTCAAGTAGGTGCTTTAGACCACTGAGCCATCTCTCCAGCCCTACACTAAATTTTTGACAAGTTTATAAATCTAAGTTATCAGCACTTATATAAAGGACCCACCAAGGAGCTGTGTACTGGTCATTTTCTATCACTCCCAGTTTCATGTAATCACTGAACTTGCTTTGCCACTGCAGGTTAAATTTTATTTTGTAATTTCATAAAAATGTAATAAAAGTGTGTTCTTTTGTTTAACCTCTTATTCAGCATATTTATGAGACACAGCTGTTGATATGCATATTGGTAGCCTATTTCTTTTAATTACTGAGTAGTATTCAATTACATGGATACAATATAATTACAATTTACCACTTGATAAAAATTTGTATTATATCTTCTTTTGGGCTATGATAGTTACTATAAACACTTCTATTCAACCTTTTATGTAGACAATGATTTTATTTCTTTTGGTTAATGGGATTCCTGGATTGGACAATTAACTTTACAAGAAGTCTCCAACTGTTCTATAAATTGGTTGTACCATCAAATATTCCTAACAGCAAATATGGAAGTTCTAGTTCTGTATCCTTGCTGACCCTTGGTACAGTTAGTCTATTACATTTAACCAAATTTTCATGGGTGTAGAATGGTATTTCACTGTGGTTTCAGTTTATATTTTTCTGATGATTATTGGTTTGAGCATTTCACAAGATTGTTGTCCATTCAACACATCTTCTTTGGTTTGGTATCTGTCCAAATTTTCTATTTCCTTTTTTATTGGGCTTTCTTCTTACTGAGTTATAAGAATTTTTATATAATCTAGACTCAAATTCTCTGTCAGATATTTGAACGGGAGACTTTTTTTTTAATGTCCTAAAGTGGTATCATTTTATCAGTGTCTTTTTATTTTTTTTCAGTGTCTTTTTAAAGGTACAGGTTTAAAATTTTGATGAAATCTACTTTTATTATCAATTTTTTAATTCTATGACTTATGTGTGCTCTTCTGTACTCAAAAAGGTCCTTGCCCACTCCAAAGTCATAAAGCTTTTTCCTGTTTTCCTCTTGAAGCTTTAAGTCTGTTTTTGTGTAAGATGTAAAATTAGGAACAGGGTTTCTTTATTTTTTTCCTCATAAAGATATCCTATTACTCCTACAACTTTTTTTTTTTTCTGTATTTTAGGGAAGGGTCTACACGGTGCTCAGGGTCTCACTACTAGGTCGGACTCGTAGTGATTCTCCTGTTTACAGTCTTCCAAGTGCTGGGATTACAGGTGTGCACCACAATTGCTGTCTCAGTGCATAGCAGGCCCGGGGATCAAACCCATGGCTCCTGTGCCTGTTTATAGGCGCTTTAATCTGCTGAACTATTTGGCTGGCCCCCACAACTTTTGTTGAAAAGACTTTTTCCTAGTGAATTATTTTAGTACCTTTATAAAAAACAAATCATGTATTTTTAGAATGTACACTGTTCCACTGATCTGTAGTACTTTTATACCAATATCATATTACAAGGGCTTCAATATTATAGTTTAATGATGTCATAAAATAATTCTCTTTTTTAATTCAAAAATTTAAAAGCTATTATTTTTCATAAAAATTTTAGAATCAGCTTATCAGTTTCTACAAAGAAGTCAACTGGAATTTCTCTTGAAAGTACATTGGGACAAACTGTCACCTTAACATTGTCTTCAAATTGATGAACACAGTTTTTCTACTTGTGTCTTCTTTAATTTCTCTTAGCAACACATTTCTTGTTTTTAGTACACAGACCTTTCACATATTTTGTAAGTTTATTCCTAAGTGTTTCTATTTTGAAGCTAGTGTAAGTGGTCTGCTTTAATTCCAACTTCCAAGTGCTTGATAACATGAAAATACAACTGTTTTTACTTATTGACTTTGTCAGTTTTAGTAGCTTTTAAGGCACTGAGTAACAATGACTATATAGTACTCAGCTATTTTGTTTTGAAAAATCATTTTTCATAAAAGAAACCAGTTTCTTGGGAAAACGACTGATTCCAGGACTGAGATCAGTAAAACAGCAGATGAGTATGGAGGATCTTACTGTGTCAAAAAGGAAGAACATGATCAAAGAAAGAAGAGATGTCAAGTGGACACATGAACCACTGGCCATTTACTCTCTACTCAGTGAAAGAAAGATCTTCTTTATTACAGAAGGCTAACATTCTTTTTTTATTTTTTATTTATTTGAGAGAGAGAGAGAGAGAGAGAGAGAGAGAGAGAGAGAGAGAGTGTGGTGTGTGTGTGTGGCCAGCTCAGCCCACCAGGGGGCGGGCTGGCTGGCATGTGGTGCTGGGGGATTGAACCGCGGTCCCTGATGCTTTGCTAAGCTTGTTCTAAGTAGGTGCTTTAGACCACTGAGCCATCTCTCCAGCCCCAGAAGGCTAACATTCTACAAGAAATACGGAACTAGAATGTTATCACCACTGAGTTGCACCCATTTACCTATAAATGCCTCAAGCTTATCTTTATTTATGGCACAGTAGTTAGTACTCCATTGCATATAAATATATAAATACCACATTTTTAAAATCCATTTATCTGTCGATGGCCATATATGCTGCTTCCAAGATTTAGCTAATATGAGTTGTACTGGTATAAATTAAACAAAACAAAACACATACATTTATTTATTTGGTATAGGGTCTCACTATGCAGCTCAGACTTGTAGTGATCCTCCTGTCTCAGTCTCCCCAACGCTGTGAGAGTTGCGCTGGTATAAACATGGGTACGAATCTATCCCTGCTTTATGATGACTTTAATTCTTCTGGAAGGATGCCTAGAAAGGAATAGCTGAGCCAAATGGAATTTATATTTTGAGTTTTCTTAGGAACACCAGAATAATAACTGTTACTAGGAATGCTGAAACTAGTGAACAAAAGTTTGATAAGAAATAGGATATTTACAAAGACTCAAGGTTTCTACACTATAAGGCACTTATTAATTATAAAGAAAAATGATTTTATAGTGGGATCAGATACCATATTAACCAAGTGATTAAAGCTAACATAACTAACCATAGATTACTGCATGCCTCCTGATTATGATGCACTGACAAGAACATAATAATTCTAAGCCATTCCTCCTAGTGTTGTATTACCTGAATGTAATGACGAAATGTTATTAGAAGAATCCTAAGTGAGGGACTTTCTACAAAATATAGATGGCCTCAGGGCCAGCCAGATAGCTCAGCGGACTAAAGCACCTGCTTCAGTAGAGTGCAGTGGCCGGGGCCTGCTGTGCTGGCCCTGCCCTCAGGATGTGCTGAGACAGTGATTGAGACTGGGCATGGTGGTGTGCGCCTGTAATCCCAGCCCTTAGGAGGCTGAAAATAGGAGAATCACTATGAGTCTGACTTATATAGTGAGACCCTATACATCCCATCCCAAATTCATAAAAAATATACATAAATGGCCTATAATTTTTTTTAATTTTTTTTATTTATTTATTTATTTATTTATTTATTTATTTATGTGTGTGTGTGTTTGTGTGTGGCCAGCTCAGCCCACCAGGGGATGTGGTGCTGGGGGATTGAACTGCGGTCCCTGTGCTTTTTTTTTTTGCTTGTTCTAAGTAGGTGCTTTAGACCACTGAGCCATCTCACCAGCCCCGGCCTATAATTTTAAAAAGTCATAAAAGTCAAGAAAAGTCTGAAGAACTGTTTCATATCAAAAGAAAACTAGAGATGTGGTAACGAGATGCAACATGGGATCCTGGACCAAGCAGTGATTTTGTTATAAAGTAGGTTGATGAGTAAAGTGCCAAACATGAATGTAGTCTTTAGATACTGTCTCAATGAAATTTCTACTTTTTTTTTTTTTTTGCAGAACCGGGGATTGAACTCAGGTCCTTGCGCTTGCCAGGGAAGAGCTTATTCCACTGAGCCATCTCCCTGGCCCTAAAATTCATTCTTCAGTTTTATTTTTATTTATTTAGGCAGAACTGGGGCTTGAACGCAGACCCCTGAGCTTGCCAGGGAAGCACTTATTCTACTGAGCCATCTCCCTGGCCAAAATTTCTGAATGTGGTAACTGTGTTTATGTTAGTATATTGTTATTTTTAAGAGTTGCAAGATAAAAATATTAGTGTGAGAATTACCTTATCTACAACTTACTTTCAAATGGTTCAAAAGAAAACACATGTACATATGGACAAAGAAGATAATGTAAATGTGGTTAAATGTCAGTCTTAGGGTATTTGGATATAAAATATATAGGAATTCTATGTGTCATTTCTGCAATTATTATATAAAACCGAAATTATTATGTAAGTAAAAAGGATATCTGATGCACAATGACTTCCTTTCATAGCAAACATACCTAGATTTTCGATGGTGTAATAGCGTTGTTTATAGTCCACTTTGATGGTCTGAGCATGAGGACTGCCAATCCCATAACCAATAGCATAACCTCTCACCACAATGTTCTGATTCTCTGGTGGAGTCCAGCTTACTACGATGCTAGTGACAAGTGGGCGAACGTGAAGAGAACTAGGCACCTCAGGAACACGAGTTTCTGGGAAGCAAAGTAGAAAAGCAAGATGAGACCTATTTTCCTTGATAATATTTCACCATCCTTGGAGAATGATGTTTTCAGTCTTCTGCCGAAGTATTTGGGCCCAAGAATTCAAAGAGAACAGTGAGATATGGCTCAAGATTTTACTGCCTCCTAAGAAGGAAAGAAAACCCAAACAGCATTAAACATAAGATATTGCATTATTAATTTGGAAAGAAGACAGATCCAGAGCCTCTGTTCAATGGAGGAAAACAAAATACCTTCAAGAGTTGCTCATCCCTTGTCCCACATCTCATCCCCAAGCTCTCAGAGGGATAATGAAAAACAAATTATCAAGAAATTAGAAGCCTAGGGCCAGGGAGATGGCTCAGTGGAATAAGTGCTTCCCTGGCAAGCATAAGCACCTGAGTTCAATTCCCGGTTCCGCAAAAAAAAAAAAAAAAAGAAAAAGAAAGAAAGAAAGAAAGAAAGAAAGAAAGAAAGAAAGAAAGAAAGAAATTAGAAGCCTATTATCAATGGGCAATGAAGCAACATATAACAGCAATGGTATCAGTTACTTATTCCCTAAAATGATCTATAAATCTGTAAATCAGAAAAGTAAAATTTGAGAGCCATAATTAATTCTGTTGATAGGAGACTAAAGGGTTTTTAAAAGGTGGACATTTATAGTATCTTCCAATATACTTCAAGGCATAAATTGCTACTTTAATTTAAAAATTAGTAAAAGGAGATTAAAAAAAAATTCAGATCTTTTATCCTCCAAGTCTGGAACCTGACACTGATAAAGATGCCACGACATTATACCCACATAAGAGATACTCACTAACTAGGTAGCTACAAAAGGGGCAAGGATTCCAGATTCAGGAAAATGGGAAATTGTAACTGAACTAAAGGATAATTGATATGGCTCAACATTAAATTTTAGAGTACCCTTCTACTTAATAGCCTTGGGAGGACATGCTGATTTAAAGCATCTGTACATTTTCATTTGGTCTGTTCTGCTTAAACAGAACATTTGTTCTGCTCTTCTCTGAAGAAGAACTAGTTCAAGAGTTCATCTCAGGAACAATGTTGCTTGATAGGAATAGCAGCAATATAATGCACTAAAGTTCACAGCTGTGAAGCCAAAGCCATGGGTTTCCACAGTCACTCACTGACTAGGGTTAATACAGTGTCTGTGGGGCCAGTGATGTAGCTCAGTGGCACAGCACCTGCCTGGCAAGTGCAAGGTCCTGGAGTTCCATTCCTGGAACCACTGCTCACCACCCCGATTCCCCAACAAAACCACCAGTATCTGTGACGTGCTGCTCCTGCCCATTGTTCTGTTCTTACCGTCTAAGTCACTTTCAAAAGTTTCAGCAGACAACCAGTCAGTTGCTGGGCCTGTACCGTTGACTGTTAGAGCGGCCACGCGGAAATTATATTCAGTCCCCCGATCAAGACCTGAGACCCAAATGACAGAGGGAAAGAAAGATGAAACAGAGCTTTGGAAAAGTAATCTCATCAAAGCAAGTTATTTCACCCTCCAACTCATTTCATAACTTGATTAGCTCAGAACAGGCAAAACATAAATATAGCCCATCTTTACAGTCAAGGCTGAATAAAGCCCACACAACCCAAGAGAAAAAACAGAAATGACTAAAGCTCCCAGGAGATTAGAGATTTTTTTGCTTAAGAACTTGAGGGCACCTTGAACTCATTTAATATAATCCCTTCATTTTCTTACAAAGGATGCTAAGGTCAAGAATAATGAAAGAGGTTTTACAAAGGAACAAAGTCAGTTTGTTTTAGAAGACACCAAAACCCAGAAAAGAATGCAAAGATGTAACTCCTATCATGTTACCTCTGTTCTCTGAGCCCTAGTATAACCACATCAGAAAAAATTTAAACATCAAACATGGCCTAGAAATCTATTTCTCAAAAAGTAAATGCTCAAATATATTTATAGCAAGTAAAAGAAAAACCCCAAGCTTTTTTATTATGTAACTTTTTATTTACTACCAGCTTATTTACTTCAAGTACAAGTGCACCAAAGGCACGATATATGTATATAAAGTCTATTCTAAAGGGCAGCACAATAGTTAATAATGTGGCCACTTACTCATGCATTCAGACATATATTTTCAAAGTACTCAAATATCGATATTATGGCAGGCCTTGTAAAGTTATGAAACTTATCCTACCTCTCCATATCCAAATATTGGTATATTTGGAGAGAAGCATAAAAACCCTAATTACAGGCAGTAAGAACGTAACTTGAATAGAATGTCAGCGTGCAACAAGTTCAGTTAACTGCTACTGGCACATGGTGTGGAAGGAGGGTTTGGATGGTTCTGTTCTCTACAGGCCCATCCTGAACCTTTTTGCCCATAAGAGAGCAAGCACAGCAACAGGAACAAAATGGCTGGGCCCAAGTCAGCTTCCTTCCTTGTCTTATCTCCACACATAATAAATCAGAAAGTGCGAGTGGGCTGCAAGAGCACTTGTCAACAATTAACAGACAACAGCCTGGATTACTGGCAAACACAGCTCAGTTAAGAGCCAAGAAGAACCCAATCAACCTGATTTTCATTCTCTGCTCTCTTCAGTGTCAGAATGTTCAACACTGAGTAAGAAAGAGAGGAACATACACAGTGGCTAAAGTTCCTTTTCCTCTATACTTATGTTGTGTAGTCAGCTTTCTTTTGGGGGAGAAAGAAGGGCACTCTGTTTCCTATAGAATGAACCCATACTAGAGCTGCATTTGAGCCCATTTTTGCCAGGTATGTGACTTGTCCTATTGTACCTAATGGAAAATCTATACAAAGGGGAATCTCTTTCAGAAAGAGTAAACTTTCTGAAACCTTATAGTGTCCATAGTAGCAAGTGTGATTATTGCATGCAGGCCACACATATGCGAGTGGTGTCAGTATTATAAAAATAATTTTACAAAACTCTGTACCCAACTAGATTAAATGGAATATCTTTGCCTATCTAGTTGTTTTACCTATCTCAAATTAGATAAACACAATATATACAATAAAAAAAATGTGGAGAATGTAAGGAAAGAAAAGTTAAAATCTTATCATGCACTGATGTATTTTTCAATTTTATTTTGTAATGGGTAAGAAGCAGGCTATTATAAATTTTTAAGAACCAGGCTTAAGTCAACAGCTGAATGCAGCCCTTAGACTAGCAGAACTCTATGTTTGAGAAAAGAATTTTGCCTATGTACAAACCATCTTACCTTCAATCAGCTGAGACAGCTGTGTCCCAGTTACCAAGGTCTCAGTGACATCACTTTTGCGGGAGGCCTTTCGGTAGCGAATCTTGTAACCAGTAATTGGCCCATTTTGTGTGGCTAGAGAAGGTGGCTGCCAATGAATCATTATACTCTGGGAAAGACAAGATTATAAGGAAAAGTTGAATGTATCTAAAGATTGGTCCTAATTATATGTATTAGCCTGATTTCACAGTGTAAAGAAAAGGGTCATATGAACAACAATGATACTATTTATTTTAAATAAAGTTTTTATTCAACAGTCATTTGAAATAGTAATTTAGAGCCAGCCAGATAGCTCAGCAGGTTAAAGCACCTGCTAAGGCAGACACAGTGACCGGGTTTGATCCCCAGAGGGCTGTGCCAGCCCCACCCCTGGGGCGAGCTGAGATGGTGATGAGACTGGGCGCACGCCTGTAATCCCAGGGCTTGGGAGACTGAAAACAGGAGGATTACTATAAGCCCAGTCTGTATAGTGAGACCTTGTACTAAATACATAAAAATAATAATAATAATAATTTTAAAACTCCCATGGTCAAGTGGGGAAAGGGTATTTTTCAAGCAGTGTACTCTGGACCCTTGCTCTTCTGAGTACTTTTTCAGAATAAAGATGTTGGTCAGAAGTTTCCAAAAAGTTTTCACAAAGAAAGCACAGAGTACATGGATTAGGAAGTATTATTGTTAGGTGTAATTTTTTCTCCCTATCTCCAGCTCAAAATAGCTGAAATTAAATAATTTTCACCTAAACCTCTTGAAAGGGAGATCATTAATTAATAGGTGTATGGAAGTCCTGCAGTAGTTTATGAAAGGACTGGTTACTTGCCTTGTTTGTGTAGTCCAGCAAGGACCCTGGAGTTCTATTTTTTTTTGGTGGAACCGGGGATTGAACTCAGGCCCTTGCACTTGCCAGGCAAGTGCTTATTCTACTGGGCTATCTCCCGGCCCCTGGAACCTGGAGTTCTGAGAGACATAGATCTCCACTGAACCAGACTAGGACTTGATGATGAGTGTACATGCAACCAGATTTGTAGCACCTGCCTTCAAGCCACACAAATTACAGGACTATGGAACCATGTTATTACTAACATTTTATTCCCTTCTGCCACATCAGCAAGGTTTTGAATGATCTAGATTTCAAGTATCATGTTTACATAAAAAGGCAATTTATTTTCAGGAAGGTAAGGACGTTTTGGCATCAGAAAAGGCAGTCAAGTGAAACAGAATACACAAGATGGTTTCTAAACACAAGTTTAATGGCAGGTATAATATGTGCTGTCTTATTTCTCTGTTTAATCATCAGTGTTTTCAATTATATTTTAGTTTATTAGGTTAGTATTTTAAAAAGCAGACTGATAATTACAACACTGGCATTCACTGTTCTGATGCTTTCCCATGGTATCACCCTCTCTGTAAGCCACTATGAGGCTCAGCGTGTACAGCAGGAATGAATGGCAGGAAGCATTACAAAGTTTTACCTTTGAATTTCTCACTTCTAATGACAGATTCTGAGGAGCAGCACTGGGAACTAGACAGGCCACAAAATGAGAAAAAAAAAAAAAAGGTTAATTACCTACATATACCTTGGTTACATTCTGCACAAATGCACATCTCAAACACTGATTATGTAAACAGAAAACCTCAACCCATCTGCCAGTGCCCTCATATTGATGTTACCAAGTGAATAAGAAATGGCTATATTTGATTTAGTTTTTAAAATAAGACATTTTCATGAGCATGGAATCCTTACCCAAGTCAGGCTGTACTTGTGCAGTCAGTTACTTATTTCATGGAGGTCCTGTGTTGTCTAGACTAAACTTTTCTAGATTCCAGTTACATCTGAACCTTAAACATATTCTAAATATTCATGTTGGGGGAAAGCCACACATTTTATGGAGCCAAGTCTAGTGAATATAGTAAGTGACTGAAATGGGTAATGACAATATGGATCAAAATAAGATGTACATAAATCAGTGAGCTTGGCTTTCTTGTGGGGTTCTTAAACTGGTTATGAAGGCAATTCCCAAGAAGAGAAAGATATTTAAGCAGTGACAGCATCAGTAAAGTGAACCATCTGGCTTCCTGAGGCAACTACATGCCAGGAAATGCTCATTCACATGTCAGAAGTTTGTGACTCTTGGTTCAATGGCTGCATAACTTTAATTTCTCATATAACAGAACATAATACAAGGGTATCTCAGAGTGTATAATGCACACACTTTTTAGTACTACCTTTGTCATGATGACAGCACACAAGAATTTAAATAGACCTGATTTGTTTTTTCTCCACTCAAAATGCTGACACCAGCACTTGTCTCCAAGATCTATCCATGGGATCTTCTCTCTTCCTTTCTCAAACGTTTGGTGACCAGGTATTTCACTAAGTGCCAACTGTGCCAAAGATTCTGAGAGGCTGAGAATATGCTTGCTCATTGTTCTGGCTTGTGCTAACGAAGTGCCTCAGGCCTCAATCCATAGATTCGCCTCTGGAATAGGAGGCAAGCACTCTGTTTTGAAAGTCTGAGTGATTCTAATCATCACATTAAGAACTGACCTGGCTGCAGATGCACCCAACACAGTGCTGTCTTCATCAATGCCTCATAGCTAAGATGTGCTATGCTCACCAGATGGCAGGTACTTAATTCTTACCACAATCTCACAAAAGGGTTTCTACTACTAGTCCTATTTTATAGATGAGAAAACTAGAGAAGTTCAGGGCCATTAACTTATTTAAGATATTTGTCTCAGCTTGCATAAGAAGTAAGATTTGTCTTACCAAATCTTGCTAAAACACACCTAGTTCATTCAGTTCCCTGTACACATTAGTCAATACACCAGCCTATTTAAGGCAATTAAAATTTGGCTCATGTGTGGACTTAAAAGCCTGTAATAAGCATTTACCCTCAATTTTTCCTAAAAATCTTGACCAACTGGTTGTAAAATTGGTCACAGTACAGTCTGTACTTTTTATCCTGAAAAAATATCAAGCCCATAGAAAAGAGTGGCAAAATGGTGCTATGAACACTATTTTTTTCCTAGTTTAATCAATTATTAATATTCCTTAACATATGCTTTACTTTTCTCACTATAAACATATACATACACAGATAACCTATCTACATATCACATCTAAATTATTTGAGATGGCCATAATCACGTCATACTTCACTCTAAATACTTTAGTATGTATCTTCTAAAAAAATGATAGGCTCCAACAAAACTATAATATAATGATCACATTTAGAAGATGAAGATGACACCAAAATATTATCTACTACACCTGGGGTCGGTGAGATACTCTAAAGCGCCTGCTTAGGCAAGCACACAGGGACTGCGGTTCGATCCCCGGCACCACATGCCATACCAGCCCCACTCCCAGGGTGGGCTGAGCCAGCCACAAAAAAAAAAAAAAAAAAAAAAAAAAAAAAAAAAAAAATTCCCTACTATACCTAATAACATAGTTAATATTGCCTAATACTACTCCTATTTAACATTGAGTAACTGTACTAACAGTATCCTGTATCCTGGATAGCTATTTTTACCACCAGATCCAAAATTCAGTCAAAGATAATGCATGCTTTATTTTGTTTCCTGTGCTCTTACTCTTCTTTAATTTAGATTCTACAATGATTCCCTTGGTTTTTTTTTTTTTCTTTCAGAAGGCCAATATATTTTAATCACTTAACTGTTTACCCTAAGCATCACTTTGGCAATGTGTTTGTTTACATACTGACTACTGAGTGTTGCTGCAGGTGGTGTCATTTTTTTTTTTTTTTTTTGGTGGTGTCATTTTAACCAGCTGATTCTTGTATTGATAAATTTGACAAGGTTGTCATTTTTATATTTCCTGTTAAATTATCTTACAAAGATTAATGAAAAATATGTAATTTTGGTCATTCTGTATTTAAATAACTGAACTAGTAAGTTGAATAAGAATTTAGGTCAGTTTATTAAAACAAAAAGTTTTAAAAGTGCCTGTGTAGGCAAGCTTAGGCAAGCTCACGGGGACTACAGTTTGATCCCCGGCACCACATGCCACACCGGCCCTACTCCCAGGGGGGGCTGAGCCGGCCACACACACACACACACACACACACACAAATTATATTCAATTCAATTTCGAACCGTGGTTCAAAACTTCCTTTAATTTGGATATATCGATTTTTTTTTTATCATATTCAGATTGAAGTTAAATGTTTTAGGCAGGGACATAACTAAAGTGAGGCTTTGTCCTCTGTGCAGCCTACCGGAGGCACATGACCTCAGTCTAGTGTTCTTTATTGGTGATGCTAAGTCTGATCATCTGCTTAAGGGAATCAAACTATAGCTTCTGAAGCATGAATATTAAGATACACACACACACACACACACACACACACACACACACACAATTTTTAAAGACATGGTAATAAAGGGCCTGGGGACATAGCTCAGTGGCATAAGTGCCTGTCTAGCAAGCGCAGGGTCTTGAGTTCTATCCCTGATACTGCAATATAAAATAAGACATGGTAATAAAACACTTGGTTCTGGACTTAGCTGAGTTTCATAAAATATGACAGCCTAAGTACAATGAGTTATGGTATTTTCTACTGTAAAAATATTTTTTAAATGCCAGTCTTGACCTATTCAATCTCTTTGGCAAGCTGTTGTTTGAAAAGTAACTGCCATCAATATGTACATATAATTTAAGAATGCAGTCATATATGAGGAATACACTGTCACAAAATATAGACAGTTAAAAATATCAATCCAGCAAGTAACCATGATAGCTGAGTAGAGTACAGCTAGCTTTCCAATACCTTTTAGGTGGTCTGTATTCAATTCAATGAAAAAGCAACTGCATTTACTTACACAGAACCCTCAGCTAAACTTGTAAATGCTTAAGAGTCAATTCAATTAAGATGCTATACATTCCGTACTTTCTTTGTGAATCTTTACAATAACCCAGTGAAGCTGGTACTCATCTATGTTTTACATGTGAAGAAAAAAAGCTGAGCAAAGTTAAGCCACTTCAAAGTCACACCTACTAGTAAGGGAATCTGAACTAAAGAACTGGGATCTGAACTAAATCTTCCTGAAATTTAAGCCCATGATCTTAGTACTATACTATGAGGGGCCCTGAGCATGATATTTTGTTTCAAAGGGAAGACTCACCATCTGACAATGTGCGAACAGCAACATCCTGTGTGGAGACTCCAGGACCATGTTTATTGTAGGCCACTACTCGGAAACTATACTCTGTGTATTTTTTCAAACCATTAATGGTGTAGGAATGACTTGAAACGTCAACATCCTTGAATAAAATAAAAATACTGCATATATACACATCTCAAGCCAAAAGATGGACTGCAAAACAATTAACTATAGGTATTGTACATTCTATACAATAGTATTATTCCTTTTATAGAATATTAATGATTTAAAAAATTAATGATAAACATTGGCAATTTACTGAGAAGTATTACTTGTTGTTTATGACCCTTGTTGGTAAAAACTACAGAATAGGGCTGGTGAGATAGCTCAGTGGTCTAAGCGCTTGGCAAGCCCAGGGACCTGGGTTCGATCCCTAGCACTGCATGCCACACAAGCCCTGTCTCCAGGCATGCTGAGCCAGCCACTGAGATCCGGTGTGGTGGTGCATGCCTATAATCCCAGCACTGGGGAGGCTGAAAACAAGAGGATCACTATGAGGCCGAGCTGCGTGGCAAGAACCTGTACCAAATACATAAAAAATTAAAACAAAAAACAAACTACAGAATAAATCTAAGTTCAAAGAAAGACTCCATCAATTTTTCATTTCCTATATACTTTACCCCTATCCCTCTGTCAAACAACTACTGAGTTTTAGGAAAATATTTCAACTGTACTATTCTAACCAATGTTTTCTAAATGACTGCATTTTATACCTGCTCAATGTCAGTTCCTTTTTCCATGTAGTACAATTTGTAATTCTGGATTTCCCCATTGCCAGACACTGGTGTTTCCCATGTGACAGTGATGGAAGTAGGTGACGCTGGATAAGCTCGGATATTAGGTGCAGGGCCAGGGAGCTGAACTGGAAAGACAATTTAAGAGAGGAAGATACAAATGAGATTCACCACACTCCTCAGTAACTATTCTCAGCAATACTGTTATGTGAGGCTGTGTTGTAGAAACCGTTAAGAGCCAAGAAAGCAACTGATTTAATTGATATGGTTTTAGGATAATAAAAATTTCATTTTCTTTTTATGACTAATGTGGAAAGCAGAAATTATCTGTGAATTAACTTCAATTATTTTTTTAAAATGTATAAAAGGACTGTTCTGTGGTTTACAAAATGCTAGCTTTTGGAACCAGGACAAGAAGAGATCTTTCCTCTGCCAGAAGTCATGGCAGGCTCTGGGGATGGCAATAGCCAGGGTCCCTGTTCACAGAAGATTTGTGGTTTGGGATGGGAGTTGGGTATAAAAACAGCTACTAATAGCATAATGAGTGTGAACAGACTTCAGTGTGGTTGCAATGAAAACACAAAGTATACAATTCTGCTGTGAGAGAGAAGGAGGTCATGAAGACTTCCTGGAGTCAAAAAGAATAAACAGTTTTCTGATATTAAGGAGTAAATTATTCCAGTAAACACTCAGAAGGACACATGGGCAAGAGTGTTACATGGTTCAGGTGGTTGCAACAGAGAATGGATGTGAAAGAGACAATAAGGCAAATAATGATGTGTGCTGGACAATAAAGAATTCTGAATGTCCTGCTCTGGAGTCTGTATTTTTTCTAATAGGTATTAGGTGATTACTGAAATATGAACAAGACATGACATAATCAGATGTGTTTAGGAAGGACATATAAACACATACGCAGAAGAACAAAAGTAAAGGAACAAGACTAGACGAAAAAAAATTTTTTAAAAACATTTATTGAATAATTATAATCAGTGAAGCATTCAAGTCAGGCTTTGATATTAAGACTCTTTCTCAAACAATGGGAAAGTTATAGCAGTACAGACAGGTACTGAGGACTTTCTGCTTCTAAAACAAGGAGACCAATAAGAAGATTACTATAAATACCCACAGTAGACTGCATGACAAGATGAATGGCTTGTTGGTCAACTCACAGGCTGTTCAATGGTCAACTGGAAGAATTTCTAGCTGACTGTAATTTCTGTAATACCTCACATACTGACTTTCCTGCAATATCCTTTTTTTTTTTTTTTCTGACAGTCTCTAGTCTCAATTTGTATACAAATTCTGGGTAGTCGCCCATGTCTACACTTTGGCAGACATTCTATATTTGAAAACAATTCCTCTGGCGCTGGTTTCTTTGCAATAGACAACAATTAGATTTGAGAGCTGGAAAAGGGAAAAACCAAAATGTAAGACAAGCCAGCTTTCTTGTAACAGCACTACAACTTAAGATTTGTTTTGCTACCAAACTAGAGAAACCTGAAAATAGTCTAACAATTGTTTGCTTTTAGTCATGATTTATGTTATTCATCTAAAGTTAAGGGTATATTTTGTACCACCTGACAGGTGAGATTTATCACACTTCTGCTGCCTGGGAAACCTGGAAAACTTTCTTTTAAGTTAGTAAAGGGGAAGGCCAGCCAGATAGCTCAGCCGACTGAAGCAAGAGGACCAAAGTTTGATCCCTGGTGCACTGTGCTGGCCCCATCCCCAGGGTATGCTGAGATGGCAACTGAGACTGGGCATGGTACTGTGTGCCTGTAATCCCAGCACTTTGGAGTCTGAAAACAGGAGGATAAGTGTCTTAAGACCCTGTACTAAAAAAACAAAAAAAAAAAAAAAAAAGCCAAACAACAAAAAAACCCCAAAACAAAAACAAAAACAAAAACCTCCAAAAACTTAGTAAAGGGGAAAGAAAATGCAACAGTCCCTAAATTCACTTGAAATCATTTTCAATACATTCACTGGTTAAATGCAGGCAAATATCCTTAAAAAAAAAAAAAAAAAAAGGCACTAATGAATTTTTCATTTTCAGCTGTAAGGTGGCATAATAAATGGAAGAAATTTATAACTGGTTTGTGAATCTAAATATGCAAAATATTTTCCAAAGGCTGACTCTAACACTTATGCCTCCCTCACACAAGCTGCAGACCTATAGCTGAAATGCAAACTTCTCTCCGCTTCCTTTCTCTTCTGACAAAACACATAATGGTGGTTTTCCAACTCCACAACACCATCAGCAGAACTTATTGCCCTTCTACCTATATTCTTAATCTTTTTCTTACACATACTCTTTGAATGAGTAATTGTGCTGCTCTCTTCCTTTGCGATGAAGCATCTCACACTGCCCTGTGTTTTACTTACTGTCTCATCTCACCTTGTGGATAAAAGTTAAGGCTTCCAGAACTCTGCACTGGATCAAACCCAGGGGTCTTCACTACGATGATGACTTACTGGCATGTGGACCATTTGGTACTATTTCTGGGATTCCCATCATGTAGCATCTTTCCCTAAGAATGCTCAGGCTAAGTCAAATGCTTCAAAGTCAACCTCAGACCCAACCTTTTCAATCTGGCCTTAACTTACCTATCTTTTATAGTGTTTTTCTTTATTCTGAATCACAGTATCTGTCATGTATGATGCCTACACATACAACCTAATAAAGGGTAAATGAACCTGAAATCAAATGGAATATTTCTGAGCTTGCATAAACACAGATAACTGAAATTCAACATCTTTTCTCTGCAATGAGAACAAATTCTACTGTTTAGGCCCCTGAGCCCTCTGATGCCCAATGTTCTTGCCTAGGTATGATTCCTAATCTTCATGGTCTTCTATTTATACCTCTCATTCTTTAAGAGGACAAATCTTGCCATGCTCATCCCTGTATGTCTAAAACCTTGAATCATACCCCGCACAGGAGGAGCTCAAAAGCTTAATGGGTAATTTGGTAGAGCATTCAAAAAACAGCAGTAAAAAGTAGTAAACCACACTGCTTCTTGACTTTACCTGGTATTATGGCTTATATCTAGACCCCTCCCCCCCACGCAGAGCTTCATGCAGTCATAGGTGGGACTTTTTCAGAGGTGGTTGGGATTGATTAATGGTACAAAGCTAAGCTCAAGGATACTAAGATTAAGGATGTGAACACTACCTACCCTAAGATACAAGGGACAGAAAGATGCTGTTATGGTCCCTTTCTTGCTTGTTTTGTAACATGCCTACCAAGAACTGTTTCTTCTCTACAAGGCCTGTTTGCCATGTCACCATCTTTTTTTTTTCCCCTTTCTGTATTTTATTGAGAAACAAATAGCAATGAGACAATTTCAAATCAAATTGGTAGGACAGTTCCAATAATTAACACATTGCATACTGCCTTCCTAGTGGTTATTTGTTGTACAAGATGCAGACATAATATCCTATTTACAAACACTATTAGAACAAATCTATTTCTTGAATTATGAGAATGTGGCTATATATTGTAATCATTTTGAATACACAGATACAAAATGGTCATTCATCTATATCCCCCCCTTTTTTTTAGTTCCATCATTTAATTATCATAGGTGTGTGAACTCAGCAAAATATTCCACAATAGTCCAGTAGTCCATAATAGAACTGGGTCTTCCACTTGACTGACAATGTTAGAAGTTGTTGACCTGAGTCCCCTACAGCTCAACATAACAACATGGCTTTATTTCTTGTAATTAATTTTTATACTTTTCTGCTGGATGGTTAAGACCAAGATAAAGCAAGACCTACGTAACAAGAATTGTAGCTTTTGGATCTGATAAGGTCAATCAAATCCCCTCAGGATTTTTCCCGAGACCCTATACCTCAGATTGTAGATTCTTTGTCAGTGTCAGCCATGTGGATGAGTCATGGCCATTGCTTAGCTAATGTGCTCTCTGTGAAAGCCTGAAGAGAATGTTTTCTCTCCATGTAACTCTCCTTAGGTACATTCTACATCATCGATCACTTTCCTCTTTGGCCCCATAATCTCCTTGATCAGAAAATTTGGGATGCAACTGAGTTACATGGTGTTACAGTGTAAGTTCTCATATGTCCTGAGTCTTAATTGACCTTGGAAGGCTAGGGCCAAAATGTTGGCTTTCTTTGTGGCTCTCCTTTTTCTCTAATTTTTGGTCTGCAAACTTAGGTTGTTAACCCTCCAGAAGAGAAGCTTATTGTTATTATCATATAACGTAGGCTGTTAAGCTTAACCTATCTGTCTGAATATCAAACATCTTAGGCATAACATGGAACAGGTATTTTTCATCAAGTACTGATATGTTAAACTTTAAGTCCCTACAGAATATGACAAAAAAATTTTAACACTTAAAATTTATTTAAAAAATAGGAATAAAGAATTATATATGTTTACACATAAGTCCAGAAATCTAACCATATACAACATTGTTGCAGGACAGTCCCGCAACATTCTTTTTCCTGTCTCCTGCCTTCATTCACCACCCCCTTCCTTTTTAAACAATCATCTACCCAAGAGACATCACGGCAGCAACTGGTGTGTCATGATAAGCAGCACGTATTCAGAAGACCAGAATGACAGGCACTCCAAGCATGAACCTACTATTACAAATGGCCATCTTCAGTGCAGTTGGTTAGTTCACAGGTGTCAGTATATATAGTCAGGGTGAGAATCCTTCCAATTAACTGCTAGATTTGAAAATCTTCTGAAGATTCTCAGGATCATTGCCTCACCCATCTTGTACATGTAACTGTATGGCTTGCCTCTGTCATGTTTCCTAGCTCTTCTCCTTGGATGTCACCATCTTAAGAGATTATTTTGGACTGAAATCTCTATAAACTGTGAGCCAAATAAATCTTTTTCCCTTTAATTTTGGGTGGTAAAAATTCTGTCTCTGTGACAAGAAAAAGACATCTGTTTTATCCACTGAGTAAGATCCTTGAATTATTTCCACAGTTTCACTGATAAATTCATTCAGGTTGTTTAATTCCTGGGCCAGTAGTTTTCCACAAACGTACCTCACATGTATCTTACTTGATGGAAATCTTTTTACTTATGGTCAATGAATATAGAAAAGCAATTACAGTTAATAGTACAAGTAGAATGGAGAATGCTTTGAAGAAAAAGTGTTTGGTATTAAAAGAAGGCACAAATGTAGAAGAAAGCTTCAAGTGTAAAAAGCATTATGTATAACTTGATTGTTTCTTACCATTTCAGCCTGTGGTATACAACCAAAAGTTAAGGTATTCAATAATTCAATAATTACAAATGTAAGTCAACCTGTCTCAGTCATAGAAAATCTAAATGTAATTACTGAAGAAGCAATACTACTTAGCACAAAAGGGCACATGTGCAAAATAAAGGTTTCAAAACCTTTTAACAAGGCAATCTGTTAGATGAATATGGATAAAGACAGGACAATCCAGTTGATGAGAATTATGAATACCCACTTTATGTACAAGGCACTAGAAGACACTATGGCAAATATTCATAAAAGACACTCATAACCACAATTGTACAGATACCAGAGTAGACAGGATCAGACTGATTCAGGAAGGTATCTGGGCCAAGTCTTTCTTACAGAATCAATAAAGCCTGAATACGCAGACAAGTATCAGTAGAATTACACTATTTGCTACTGTCTGATGGAAATTCGCCTTGTCTTCTCTACTCATAAAGATCTTGAAGGCAAATACCGTTATCTCTGCTCCCAGTGGTCTGCAAGGCTAACTACAAGGTAAACCTTCGTAAGTCTCCTGGGAAGGGCTGGCCAACAGATGAAGACTTACCCTCAGGCTGTGTTTCAACTCGTAGTGGAGCTGAACTTTCTCCGGAGCCATGTTTATTTTGAGCCACAACTCTGAAGATGTACACGGTCGCTGGCATTAGGTTTTGAATGGTTACCTGCATCTCTCCTGGGTGACTGGTATTTTCAACTCGCTCCCTTTAGACAGAAAAGGGTTTGGAAAGAAAAACTATCATTTAGGAATGCCTATGGAAAATACAGTTTAAATGTCCACTTCACATCAAAATTTAACAATTTAAGTGAAGTTTATTAATAAATAATGTTTTGGGGATATAACAACACATAATAAAATATGGGCACTGGCCAAGAAGGAAGTCATTTGTAACTTGCTAATGTTCTTGCGTAGATGTTATTGATACCGCTTTCTGTTTCCTTTTAGAAGAAGCAAGGGTTCTTCTTAAGACCGTTTCAAATGGAGTAGCTGGCTGTCAACTTCAAAGGCTTTAGAAATTATTAAGGGCTTTTCTGGGGTGAGGTGGACCCAGGACCTTCACAATTGCCTACATTCCCAGACCTTTTTAGTTTTCAAATCATGTTTCACTAAGTCAGTTAATTGTCCAGCTGAAAATTTTACATCGTCCTGCCTCAGCCTTCTGGTGTGCACCATCATACCTGGCTTGAAGTAACTGATTTCCAAGGAATAACTCCTGGGAAACAGACAGGAGGTAGCTGTTGGTAGCACCTAATTTTCACAGAAAATATCAAGGAATGCATATTTAAATGAGTCTCTTAATTTAAAAAAGCTAGAAGTTGGCACTTTTTAAATTGGGAACACAAACATTAAAAGTACACATGTAATCCAATTTATAAAAGAAGATGATCTGTGACAATGAGTTTTTTACACTGAGTTTTGTAATTTAGTATTACTTCTGAATGATTTTCAAACAGATCTGAAATGTCTGACAAATTCACAAATACTATAAATGAGTTTGGTAGTCTAGTTGATGTTATAAGATGCAAATGTAAAAGCAATTCTCTAAGTCAGTGGTGGTGACTATATGGCATTCAGGTTATTGTGTTTTTCTTTTAAGGCTTACATTTTTGTTTTTGTTTTAACAAAAACCTTAGTAAGCAGGTTTCATTGCAATGTTGGCACTGTGTGATAAATAGGTGGGCTTGGGGCTGCAGTTTGGGAACTCTGTTTCTAAATGCTTTGCCATCACTGATCTAAGTTCTTCACAGCAAGGTTGCTTCCAGGCTGTCTTAGGCTCTGCATGTCCAAATTATACCCTAATTACACCTAGACTACTGTACCTATGAAAAAGAAATCCAGAGTATGTCGTGAGTCTTCAACAAATGTTGGGAAGGAATCGTTTCAGACAGCTTGCCTTTAAGAATTGTCATTACTGGAAGAGAAGAGTTCTATCTATCTTCAAAAAAATTAAAAGAACTCTAAACTTTTCTGGAAAAAATTATTGTGAATTACCTAATCTGTTAAATCAAAATTTTTATTTTAAAGTACTGCTAACTTGTCCTAAAATTGCCAATTAAAATTTGTTTAGGTCTATGGGAGCAGTTACCAATCTGTATAATTATATGTTAATACTGGTACTGAAATTTAAATGTGTTCAACAGTTCTTCAAGCTATCTTATGGGATGCAGCTCACTGCTTCAATATTTAGAGGTAGTTTCATTAATTAAGCTCACTAAAACAGAATGTTGTGGTAATAAACTAATTGTTTATACTTCAATATTTCTTCTGAATTATTTTCAAACTGAACTGAAATGTTTAAAATCTTACAAATACCATAAATGAGTCTGGTAGTCCATGTTATAAGGTATTTATAATTAGTATTTTTGTCTTTGACCTCTAAATCACAGGATTTAAAAGGAGAATAGCAACTGATTTCTTACACATTGCGGTTTCTGATACTTGCGCTGATCACAAATGAGTGCTAAAAAGTATTATGTTTCATACTCAACTAAAATCTCCAAGAAAGAGTTAAGACTCTTCTGCTCATCCTTTATATAAAAATTTTAAACACATTCTCTTTTAGAAAGATGACTTGCTGTGGGTCTGGCTATTGTACTCATAAGGGAAAGTCTGCCTCATGCATGTTCACCCACTACCAAAGCAATAGGCTGAATGCTTATATAGGGAAGCAGCTTCACCCACAGATATAGAATGAATGAATGAATGAATGAATGAATGAAAAGAACGTGTGTGTTCTGATGTGTAAATCATACAGAGATATTGCGTATATCTTGTTTGTTCCTGTGTAAAAAGAGAAAATTAGAAAAATAAAGTTATTAAAACCAGAAAAAACTTTGCATAGAAGCATTATTATGAAAAGGAAATCAGTTACAGAGATGACTTGCCAAGATGAAAGACACAGAATCTGAGATGGTTCTCCCACTAGATTTGTCTAAAGTCCCAAACCAAGTTTCTGCCCAGAAAATCTTTTGCTTTTGGAACAAGATCCAACAAGTGTTAGAAAACCAATTATTATAAACGCATAGTTATAAAGGGACTTAGGTTAGAATATGACAGACAGCTGAGAGAACAAAAAAGGAAAAAAATAAAAAAAATATACTTTGTACTAAGACAGCGCTAGATCATACTAGGAGATCCAGTTCTAGTTGTAGCAACGATACTAGCTTGCCTGAAGACTGTGTGCAAGTACTGGCTCTTTCTGGGCCCCATTTTCCTTATGTATTGCATGAAATAATGAAATGGGTGGGTATTAAAAGGCTGGATAGCATTTTTTGTTTGTTTGTTTTGTTTTTTGTACTGGGGATCAATCTCAGGACCTTGCACTTGCCAGGAAGGCACTTATGCTGGTAAGCTATCTCCCTAGCCCTTGAATAGTGAGTATTTATAGGGCAAGAGGCAAAATGGAAACCATTACATACTTACATAACCTTTTAAAATGTAATTACTTAAAAATATAAAAACCATTCTTAGTTCCTGAGCCATGCAAATAGCAGCTCTCACTTGGCCTAGGATCCTCAGCTTGTCAAGCCCCAGGCTAGATTCTAAGGATCTCTAAAAAGCTATCAGGAATGGGTTACTCTCTACTCTTCATTTAATGGCCGATTTGAGAAAAGTACTGCTGCTTAAATAAAAGGCCTAAAAACAAAAAAGGATAAAAATTTCATAACCAAAAAGGAGGAAAGACCCCTTTCAGTCTCTTGCAACTCAAGTACTCAAGAAAAAAACAGCTCTTGGCCAAGGCACATAGTGCCACCTGGTGGTCCAATTTTCAAATACAGGAAGTGGAATTTGCAAATGAAGGCAATGTTAATGCAGACTTAGCTGGAATTCTTATTTTATCATTAAGCCTGTGAAGTAATTTATTATCATTGCTTTTTAGATGAGCACATTTAAGCTTAGAAAGGTTAAATAAATTCTGCTTACTACTACTCCTTCATTGCCTCTGTTCAGGAAACATAAGCTTAATGAAGTAACCAAACAAAATGGTCTGATTCTTCCTTTTAGGTATTCCCCAAATTCACTTATCTGCTCCACATCACTGTTCTCATTGTCACCAAACTTACCACCCAGGCAACATGTTTAAATTAATGTAACTATGGGCCGGGGAGATAGCTCAGTAGAATAAGCACTTGTCTGGCAAGCACAGGGTCCTAACTTCAATCCCTGGTACAGCAAAATAAATAAATAAATAAATAAATAAATAAATAAGCAAGCAAACAAACATAACTACCGAATTTATCTCCCTGGCCTCATTTCCTCCACTCTATCTTATGTAGTGCTCCCACAGTACTGCTAAGACAAACTGCTTAATGTAATCACAATGTACACCTGCTTTACAGTCTTAAAATTATATCTTAAATGTTATGTTAAAATTCTTACTGGTATTCCACCTCTGGCTCCAAACTTCCAGTCCTACCAATCAATCTCTGGTCAGGCAGGCTAGACTTTTACATACCTTATCTTGCTTGCTGGTCCCTGACAATTCACTTCTGTAATTCTCTCAAGTCAAAATTCATTTGTTAGTCATCTCTGTTAACTGCAACGCATGACCCATTATCCAAAATTTAAATAGAAGGGGTAAATTCTCATTTAAAATATATGAATACAAAAGTAACATAAATAGCTCAGCAAATTAAAGCTCCTGCTTAGGCAGACGCAGCTGGGGTTTGATCCCTGGCTTGCCGTGCTGGCCCTGCCCCTGGGGTGCGCTGAGATGGCGACTGAGACTGGGCGTGGTGGTATGCAGTCATAATCCCGACTCTTGGGAGGCTGAACACAGGCAGATCACTAGTCTGATTTATGTAGTGATACTCTGTAGATCCTTACTAAAAATACAAAAGAAAAAAGTTACATATATAGTTAAAAATAAATTCTAGTTCTACTTCTTCACAACCCTGAGGCCTGATTGTGGCAAGTAGGCACTGACATGGATCTTATGAACTTCACACAAGGGTTCTCAACCTTATACTACTGAGATATGGGACAACATAAGTTTTTGCTGCAGGGGACTCTGCTATACATCAAAGGATGTTTACCGGCATCCCTGGTCTATAAGCATTTACTAAATACCAGTAAACACTCCTTTTAGTCCAGCCGTGACAATAAGCATATGTCACCAGATACAGCCAAATAATCTCTGAGACAGGGAGAGTAAATCTGTCCCTGGTTGAAAATCACTATTCTAAAGCTGGGCGTGGTGGCACATGCCTATAATCCCAGCACTCAAGAGGCTACAATAGAGGATTTATTTCCCTAACCCCATTTCCTCCCCTCAGGGAGGATGAGGCAGGAGGACTGCAAAGTTCACCCAGTCTGGGCAACTTAGCAAGGGCCTACTTCCAAGCAAAAATAAAGGGTTGAGGATGTACCTCAGTGTGAAGCCCCTGGGTTCATTCCCCAGTACCACTCCAGACATGCACACACAGATTTAAAAGTTCAACCAGGGGGCCAAGGAGATGGCTCAGTAGAATAAGTGCTTGTCTGGTAAGCCCAGGGGCCTGAGTTCAATCCCTGGTTCTGCAAAAAGTTCAATCAGATCACCTTTCCTAAAGACTTAATGCTGCCACCAATAGCCTCACATTTCTTGCCGCTTTTCAACTTACTTAGTACTAGATATAGAATTTTGTCTGCCATACAGATTAAAAACCAAACAATTTTGGCATTTTCAAGATTATTAGTGACAGCGAAATACGTTTTAAAGTTTCATGGGTAATCCACTAACTTCTCAGAATTGCCTGTTTTTATCATTTGCCTCTAGGAACACTTGTTTTTAACTTATGATTTATAAAGTTCTTTTTTTTTAATTTTACAGAACAGTGTACAGGGTGTTCAGATCTCACTACTAGATCAGACTCGTAGTGATCCACCTGTTTATAGCCTCCCAAGAGCTGGAATCACTGCAATGCCCAGTCTCAATCGCTGGCTCAGTGCATCCCAGGGGCGGGGCCCACACAACAAGCCCAGGATGGAACCACTGGCCTCTGCACCTGCTAGCAGGCACTTCAATCCGCTGAGCTATTTGGCCAGCCCTTAAAGTTCTTAATATAGATCAGTGTCAACACAATCCTTTATAAATGCTACACATTTTTTTCTAACTTGTCACTTGGTATGTTGACTTGTTTATGCTTTAGCACATGAGAGTTTTATGCTGACATATATGTTATCTATCTTGTCATGGCTTTTGGGTTTCTACCTCTTAAAAAGTCTCCCCTGAAACAGGAGAATCGTTACGAATCTTGATCTGTGCAGTGAAACCCTGTAGACCCCATACTAAATAAATTTAAAAAAAAAAAAAGCCTTTCTCACTTCCCAAATAAAAAGATTTCTATATTTTTCTAATATAAATTACAAAATATTTATCTATCATTACCCTAACCTATATTTACCTGTATTTATCTCTTTATCTATGTTGTACACAATGTAAAATGAGAACTTATTTTTCCCAGCAAGGGACAATTATCTCAACATGATTTCATGAATAATCTACTTTTCCAATGACTAAAATTGATTTATAACCTAGTAAGCATTTATTTAGTGCTGTTACGTGCCAGGCTCTATTCCAAGTACAGGGGGATATTCCATTGAATAAAATAAAGACAATAAATACATTAACAAAACAAAGTTTTAAAGATTGGTAAGTGCTCAGAAAAAATTCCAAAACAAAAGCAAAATAACCCAAATCAACAAAAATAGGGCGATGCAACAACAGCACTGTTCTGGTAGATGTTTAACAACAGAAGCTGGCTTATGGATTTGGTCACTGTAAATACCTACACCAAAAACCATTTCCAATTGCCAATTCATGTCATCAGGCTTGCAAATTTTTCTAAAAATTTAACAACTGGCACAGAAATGAGGTGAAGGGGACCTAAGCACATGGGGCTGGAGGGAATGCAGGGAAGGCCTGAGGAGGTGTCATCTGAGGAAAACAGGCAAGAAGCCACCGAGTTCTCTGAGAGGGAAATGTATTTCTGGTATATGGAACAACAATGGCAAAGGCCCTATTGTGAAAACAGACCTTGTTATGCTGAGGAATTATGAAATGCTTTCTTCATTCTGTGAACTCCAATATTTATGAGATTTCAAGATCTACTGTACATATTTTAACACTGAGGCTGAAACTTCTGGGCTGGTAGTAATGTTTTAAACATTCAGTACAGTTATGACTTAGATCTAAAATGTTCCCTGAAAGTCTAATGTTCAGAGATGGGGCTTTTGTAAGATGACTGGATTATGGGGCACCATACTCTTCAGCGGTTTAGTCCATTGATGAGTTCATAGCTGACTCTGCTGTTAAGAAGTGGAGTCTGGTCAGAAGAGGCAGGTAGGTCCCTGGGGGTGTGACCTGTAAGGGTGTATTCTTTGTCCTGGCTCCTCCCCTGGATTTCTGCTTCCTGACTGCCAGACGAACAGCTGTCCTTGGCTAGGCCCTTTACCATGCTGTTTTTGCTTCAAAGCCAGCTGACTCTGGGTGGAACATACTGGAAAATATAAGTCAAATAACCTTTCTTCCTTTAATTTGTGAGTGTTGGGTATTTTGTTTCAGCAATGGGAACGGAACCAATACAACAGTATTTACCATCTATCAGGCTCAAATTATATCACTCACATATCTCAATGTCATTCAAACTTACTGAGTATTAAAGAAATTCTACTTTTGCTGAGCTTACTGGTCTGGCTTCGACAATGTGTATATATCAAACGTAAGCACCCTAGTAGAAATACGAGCTTCTTCGGTATGTTAGGATCTTAACTAAAACAGTATTTTATCTTTCTTATTTTGGTGTAAAGTAAAGGAGAGGGAAGCAACTGAGAGGCTCAGGTGGAGGTGTAAAGGTGTGTAAATGCTGTAATGATAAGAGGGTGGTTTTTTTTTTTTCTTTTTTCTTGCTCCGAATGCCTTCAGGGCAGGTTTGGCTGGCTTGAGTTGTGGGAATCAAACCACAGCAACCTGAGCCTGACTGCATTGTTGAAGCAGCCACTTAAAGAACTGAGCTAAGGGGCAGGCCCCCAGTGGTAAGAGATTGGTGTCATTAGAAAGTGAGTTCAACTGGGGGAAGAAGGTGAGGGTGGACAGATTAAAGCCAGGCTGTGGACTAAAGTGGTCTGGAGATTGTGGGTATTCTATAAACAATGGAGAAATCATGTGAGCTCCAAAGAGGGGTGGAAATAGGGACTTAAAACACTGTTTTTGGAAAATTAGTCACTGTAACTATTCTGACATCATCAAGGAGACATCTGGAGCTCAGCAGCCTGCACCACATAAGGGTGCAGGCCTACATTCACTTAATATTATTTTAATAAATTAAGGCACCCTTAATTTCTAGGTCTGTGTTAACTGAATCTTATAAGAGTAATTGGTTATATCTGAGTACTTGCAGCTTAAGTAGCTCTATTTATCCTCTCTCCATGTTGCCACAGAAAGATACGGAAGAATAACAGCATTTTGGTCTGCATGAAAATTTATTTCATTACCTAAAATTGGGAACGATGTAGGACAGTGACCATACTTTCTGAACTGAGAAGTGATATAGATCCTATACAATACAGAGCTTGGGAGAGCATAACTAGGGCATCTGGGAGTATGGACCTAATTGCAGGCCACCAGCACTTACCTAGCAATGCCCTCCTTGGTGTAGAACACAGAGTAGGTGAGGTTGTCCCCATGAGGATCAGATGCAGGTGTCCGCCATGTCAGTTTGATAAAGCGGGTAGAGACGAGGGAGGCCACAACATCTCGAGGCGCTGAAGGCAGTGGTCCCGCTGTGGCTGGTGCTAGATGGTCAGTAGTGGCACTGGTCAGTGAAGTGGAAGGTAATGTTGGGATGGCAACATCTTGTCATGTGCAAACATTGGGGAATATGAAGGGCAAACCACGACGGTTTTTAAAAAGAGAACAGAAAAAACAAAAACAAAAAAGAAATAAACAAAACCACGATGGGAAATAAAATAAAATGAATGAACATAAAAAAGGCCATTAAACTGAAGGCTAACATGCAGGCCAGGAGCACTAAAAACTAATGGGCACTATTCCAACACACCACTGCAGAGCAAGCAGACTTCCTGGTCACTGTAATGGTTGTGGGTAAGGGACAGAGGGTGAGAGCTGAGAATAACACATCTCAAAGGACACAGCAGTGCTCAAGTAATTTTCTTAATCTTTTTTTTTTTTGGCGGAACCGGGGATTGAACTCAGATCCTTGCGTTTGCCAGTCAAGCGCTTATCCTACTGAGCCATATCACCGGCCTCAATTTTCTTAATTTTAAAAGCAGAATGCAACATCTATCAAACTTTGTATATAAAATATCATAATATGATTGGCAGCAATATCTTCTGCTTTATGAAATATAGAACATATGTAGTACTGACAAGCCATTACCCTCCACAGTCATCCCAGATTTCTGGGATCTCATTGCAGAGCTTGGGCTGTCTTCAGTCCTGCAAGATGTCCAAAAGCTGCACCTTCAACTTTAGTCTAAAGTTCAGTATTAAACTCAGCTCTCTGTGTGGACTCAGGGAAGTGACAACCTTCCTCACTTTGCTAAACTATACTTCATTTTGCATCCTATCAATTTATTTCATTATGACAGTATAAAATTTTGAATGAAAAATTTCAGACACAAAAATGTAATAGGCAGCTGACTTTATCAAACTATGGAATGTATATAATACAGATGGATAATATGGCTACTGACTCTCAGGGACTGGGTACAGAGATGAAGCAGTGGCACTAGTCAAAGCCTCTGTCTGTATACCTGTAGCCAAGGGTGACTTGGATACCCTTCAAGGCTACCCATTTTGTTGTAGGAGAGTTCTGATTTTAGAAGTTAATGCCTAATGCTGAACCTAAAACCAACTTCAGAAATTCAAAGCTTAATCTCACAATTTTTAATTAAAAGAGCGCATTAATTAGAATTGTGTCAAAGGGCCAAGTGGTAAGAGCCAAGTTCAGTGGTATAGTGACTGTCCCATATATGTGAAGCTCTGGGTTTGATTCCCAGCACTCCCCAAAACAGGAATCATACCACTGAACCATAAACTTAATAGGAAAATCAGAAGAGAGGCAGAGAAAAAAACAAAAAAAGTATGGCCCTAGTTTTGAATGAAGTGGCAGGGACAGTAACCTGGAAATTTGGGACTGTAAGAATCTAAATAAAACATTATTTTTTTTAAAAGTGCCAGGTGAAATCAACTCTCTAAGGGAAATGGCAGAGAAGAGCCAACCTGAGGTTTCTAGATAGGTAGAAATGGAGAAAGAGTGATCCAACACCACTTCTACAAGGTACTCTAATCCTTCTGTAGGTCATCCCAGCTTCACAATAACCTTAAGAAATGGGCACTTTCACCTGATGTTTATCTTATATAAAGAGACAGACAATTACCCTAGATGACAGTAAGTGGCATGGTAGTAAAACCAATTTTCGTTTTCAGTCTAAGAGGCCTCTGTATGTAACCAGTAGGAGGCTGGGAACTTGACTTCCAGTCTGGATGTACCACTTGTTGCATTGCTACTTTGGAAACATCACTTATCCTCTCCTATTCTTTTTCAATGGAAACATTTTTAGGAGTGCAGAATGCTCTGAAATGTAATCAAGGTTTTCTCTAGACGTTACTCACTGAAACAAGTCAATGTAAGAAAGTCAAGTGTGAATGGCCTTTGAGGGTAGCAGACAACACTGAAAAGAGACCAAAATCCTATGCTAAAAACTTGATCTTGCCACTACCTAATAGTGCAAGGTGGGCAAGTCAGTCTGTCTGATTATCAGTCTCCATATGTGTAAATGCAGAACAGTAACACTCCCTGTGTTGTAGGCTGACATAAATGTGAAAACAGCCAGAGAGTATGTGTGGAAGCAATGTGTACATGCTGCTTACTACCAAAACCAGATGTAAAAGGGTAACAGGAAAAGGACGTAAGTATGAAAGGTAGGGAGACTACCCATTCAGGAGCCCCTTCCATTCCTCTTAAACTGAAGCTTTCTTCCTCTTCATAAATACTTGGGTGGGGGAGAGAGGGAAAGGAGAAGGAAAGAGGAAAGGAGGGAGGGGGAGGGGTGGAGGAAAGGGGGAGATATAAAAGAGGAAGGGGTGGCAATTGAATCACTCAGGAAAATTCTAGCACCTTACTGAACTTCTACAGCCCAGGTCTGTAATTTACTCATGGCTTCTACCATTTCCTGTTCACACTAAACACAGTAACCTACATACTCCTGAAGGACAAGATTTGTGCCTGCTTTATCACTTACTGTACTTGCCTAGATGATCGATACACAAATATTTATCAAATTAATAAATGGAAGAAAATTCAGGGAACTGTTAGTCAACAAAGACCAGTGTTTCTAGAATCTTGTAAAAGAAGTCAATTACTTTAATCATTTTAGCTGTTAAATCATATACTGTGTAAATGTTTATATAATAAATAACATACCATTTACAAAGCAAACATACCTTACCAATTAAGTACGAAATGAGTGCAAAAATGCCAAGTTATTGTAAATGGCCTAATGAACTTAACTATAGAAAAATATACATGTTTATGATAGTCTCAGTGTTCATTCCCCACATGAGTTCTATTGCTGCTGTTCATATTCTTGCTGAGTAGGTAAAAGACATATGCAAAGAGTCAAAGAGGCAGTTAAGGTGCCTCAGAATCCAAGGCAAAATTCCATATATTGGGACTCTGGACTGGTTTAAGGAATTTAGCAGATTCTCATCCCCAAAAGAACCACAAAGCTGAATAAACTGTTAAAGACTGCAAGTAGATCAAAAGCATATAGCAAGTACAGAACCATTTATTTATGAAACTATCATACTTCAGGTAAAAACAATGCCTATGTTCCCCCAGCTTGAGGATGTGACCTTTTTAGGGGTACGCAATGGATGATAGACTTGTTATGGAGCATGGTGTGCCATGAGGCGAGAAAGTGACAGAAGGTTCCCAGGTTAAGTGCTCCAGAGACTGGGGCAGGCCCAAGCCTTGCACACAACCTGGGCAGTTGAAACCCATGCATGGGGGGTCAGAAGACATGAGAGCACCGGATAGAAGGCAGAAGGTGGGGCAGACCAAAACTTAGCTCAAAGTTTGAAAAATATTCCCCAAACCACACAAACATCCACTAAGTTAGAGTGGCAGGCTTATTGAGGTATTTGAGCACAACTTGTGACTAATTTTTGGCCACATGCTTATCTACATATACCAGGGTCAACCCTATAAAACCAAATCTATAGATACAGACCCTTAGAAAATAAAAACTTAACAATAAAACCCCCAAACAGCAGAAACATCAGTGGCTGCACACTCTGAGGAAGGGAGAGTTAGTCCATGAAAGTGACCTAACAACAACACAAGAACTGCTAGGGGAACAGGGAGAAGAATCAGAACCCACAGCTGCTTCAAAATTTTATTAAAAATGCCTAATAGTCAATAGATGATAAAAAGATGCAATGAAATGAAGTGTTACTCAAATTAAGGAAGTCAGCAGTCAATACAAAATGTCTTAGAAAGGACATCATATTCTAAAAATATTTTGAAGCAACTATTAAAATATATTCTATGATTCAGAATTCTATATTCTTAGGAATCTAACCAAGAGAAATAAAAACAACTATCTACACAAAGATGAGCATTTGTTTCAACAATATTCATTATAATATCAGTTTATACTGCTAACAACCCAAATGACTATCAATTCATTAAAAGAAACAAAATGAGTATCTATATAAAAGGAACAGAATGCTGATTTGTGCTACTATATGAACAATCTCAAGAGTACTACGCTAAATGAAAGTAAGCAATCAGAAAAGACCATATATTATGTGGAATCACATCATTATGTGATTCCATTTATACAAAATGACTGCAAAGGACAAAGGGCACTTCTATAGAGATAGAAAGCAAATCACAGACTCCCTATGACCATGGCTAGGATATGTACTTAACTACAAACAAGAAGACTTCTGGGGGTGTGGTGAACATTTTAGGTGAATTTTATACTATGTAAGTTATAGTCATTAAAGTTGTTTAAAACGGTAGTGCATGCCTATAATGCCAGTACTGGGGAGGCTGAGGCAGGAAAATCACTACGAGTCTGAGCTGTGTAGCAAGACCCTGTACCAAATAAATAAAATAAAGAAATTAGGACTGGAAAGATAGCTTGGCAATTTAAGTGCCTGCCTGGCAAGCACAGAACCTGGGTTCGAGCCCTGGTGCTGCATGTTGCGCTGGCCCGGGAACCTCAGATGCACTGTGCCAGCTACCGAAACTGGGTGTAGTGGTGCACGCCTATAATCCCAGTACTGGGGAGGCTGAGATAGGAGGATCACTATGAGTCTGAACTGCATAGCAAGACCCTGTATCAGTAAATAAATAAACAAATAATAATAATTTTTAAAAAAGGAACAAAGAAAGAAATGAAAGCTTGCCTGCCTGGCAAGCACAAGGTGCTGAGTTCAATTCCCAGTATAGATGGATGGATGGATGGATGGAAGGAAGGAAGGAAGGAAGGAAGGAAGGAAGGAAGAAAAGAAGGCAGGCAGGCAGGCAGGCAGGCAGAAAGAAAGAAAGAAAGAAAGAAAGAAAGAAAGGACTGGCTACTTGAAATTATCAAAAGTACTTTCCTCCTAATATAAAACAGCAGTACTTACATGGCATCCCAGGACATTTGTTGCTCAAAATACCTGAGCTTAAAACTAATCTATCTAAAATCTTCACAAAATTAAAATGTCTAGAAGCAACTCAAAAATAGTAACAAATTTTATTTAGTTACCTATGTGC